TTTTAATGGGAGTTAAGGGACCTTTGGAATGAGACTCGGGGACTGGAGTTTGAGAAGATGATGTTCTAGTGATTCAAAAGGGGTTTTAAATCAAGAAAGTTCGTCTAAGAAAATGGATTCTTATTAATAGGTTTCCCCAAGATAATCCGACTAAAGAGGGCTTTCATCGAAGAAGGAATCGAGGAGTCATCTTTTTGAGGTGAGTGTAAAGGGGGTAAAAATCTTTGTCGTAGGTATTTTAGTTTATGTGTGTGAGGCACCCAACCGCCTGTAAGGGTGGAGGCACGCGTTGTGCTATGTATGAATGTATGGATGTATGATTGTAATAGTTGATTAATGGTAAGAGGAACCCCCGGGCGGTTGGGTCACTACTGGACCGTGAGACGTAACGCAGTAGTTGACGGGCATGGATTGGACGACGAGACGTAACGCAGTGCCATTGCCGAGTTTGGGTATGCAACCGGACGACGAGACGTAACGCGGTTGGCATACTAGGGTAGGGACACCGGACGGCGAGACGTAATGCGGTGGTCCCTTTTGTTGGTGTCTCTGGATTAAGAATATAAGTAAGGAAATTCTAAGGATAAGATAGGAGTAGAGATCTCTAATAGATTATTTGATAACAAAGTAGAAGGGATGAAAGCGAGAACGGCTTTTGTCTAAGTCAAGAACCCTAATAACGTGTTTAGTAAGGAGTTTCTTAGGGCGAAGACCTTAGAAAGTAACGACGAGAATGACCCCTTCTCACTCACCAGGTGCAGAGAGGGGAAGAGGACACATCCATCAAGAGGAGGTTACCCGAGGAGAACAGCCGCGACAAACCTGAAGTTGTCAACTAGATCTGGGTAACGAGATGGGACCTCCCATTATATATGTCTTTAGTTTCATGTCTTAATGAGTATAATGGGGAACTCAAGGATTGTGTTTTATGTTTTGTTGCTCTGGATTGAGGTCGCCCAAATGTTTAGGGCATTTCACTTGAGAATAAACATTGCTGTTGTTCATTTTTGGTTTTGATTTGTAAACCTGTTTTGAGTTGCTCCGGAGTAACCGGTTTGTGGTTTGAGTTATGGTTTGGTTTTCAAAAAGGATCGGGTCGTTTCAATTCACATAAGAAAACTACATGGTAGCTAGTTAGGGTTTCACAACACCCAAGTGAAAAAGAAATCTACTCCATGCTAGAAATGGGAGAAACACAAGGGGAAGAGGTAGAAACCATCATGAAGAGGCTTCTAATCTCTTGGCACTTGTGCTGAACTTCTCTTAGGGAGAATCTTCCCAAATCCACTCTTGGAGCAAAACCCTAGCCTCCTTCTCCTTTGGTTTGTCTTTCTCTCTCTAAAATCTGAAGAAGGCTTTCTCACTCAAGTGGGCTCTCCCCTCTCTCTTCCTTTCAGCTCATCTTTTAAACAGGAAACGAGTTCAATTCACGGCCGTGAACCTGAAACGCGTCCGTGAACTCCAGACTGGTACCAAAACGCACCGATTAACTTGCACGTGTTCAGGGTCCACAACTCCTGTTCACGGTCTTAGTGATCGTGAACTCAAATAGCGTCAGCAACTTGAGTTTTGGCCCTGGATGCCTCAAAGTTCACGGGCAACGACTCTTCTTCACGGTCATACAAGACCGTGAACCCGCCGTTTTTCACCTCTTCTCCCGGTTTTTGCTCCTTTTCGTCCAACTTTCAACACCGAAGCTAGTTTCACCTGTTAATCTTGAAACACGCTAAAACATGAGAGACCTAGCGTAAAACCACCCTTTTAGGAGAGAAAATGCCACACACGCCTAAGGAAAACGGGGACAAAACATGTACAATTAGATTCGAATCACACGCATTCCCACATCTTACCAATATGATACTTCACGAGTTTCTCTTTAGACTCTTTCCCCTTTTATTTATGTTCACCCCATTCAAAATCCCAACATGTATAACTATGATTATTCATATTTCCCTTTTTTCGTTTAATTTATTTATTGTAAACTATGATTCCTTGTTTAACTAAATATTTACCTAATTTATAAATTATAAATTAGTCAATCCAACCAAGTGGTATACCAACAAAAAGGAAGAGACTTGGATCACAATACGAGATGGTTAGCACACGCTCAACAATCTTCATCTCAAGAGGATTGTTCACTGTGATTCGTTCTAGAGGACTATATCAGTTCAACTAGTTAGTCTCTTTATGCTTAGGTCGGTTTTTTAGTGGTTAGCGGTAGATAAGAAGTACAAGTCTAAATCCATAAAAAAAAAAGTACAAGTCTAAAGAACGTGTTTGTGTAAACTAGATCGATTATACCATCTAATGGGTCAGGTGGTTCGGGTTTAGTCATTTTGATCACTCGACCCATTCACTACGGTTTGTGAAATATTAAACCCAAACCCATTCACTACGGTTTGTTTCTAATTGGGGTGGGTCGGCTTGGCGATATTTTTAAGTAAAAACCCAACCCAATACAAAATATGTAATTATTCTACACCATAAAAATATTTTATAACTAATTAAATTTCAAATGAATAAACCGAGGATAAAGGTATCAAATTTCACAAATGTTGTTTCAATTTTAATAAAATGTGATTTACTTTAACATATGTCTAGTTTTTTTCACGATATTTGTTAAAATAGGCTAAAAAGGTTATGAACGAATGCACCCATAATATGTTATTGTATTAAAATTGTACACAAGAAAATGGATAACGTGAATCATAGCTATATTAAATTTATGTCTAAACTTTAAACCGAAGAATGCATTAGATTATGGAGACCGTAAGAGAAAAACGTGGCGAAATCTATTAATTTTTTCATAAGTATGACTATATATGACATAAATATTTTTGGATACGAACTCCTATCAATAGTTGGAACACGGGTTGGGTCGGGTTCTACGGGTTGTGTAATCCAAAATCTAAACCCAACCCAATAGAGGTGGGTTGTACAAAAGAAAACCCTCACCCAACTCAAAATCTTCGTTTCACCGATAAATACGTGTAGGTTGAGTCAGGTAGGACAGGTGGGTCAGTTTACGAGTGTGTTTGTTCACCCCTAATACCATCTAACCAATTTGAATCCACCTAAGTCAACAATCCCATGTATAGTCCTAGTTGACAAAATGTAAATTGACAACTTATCTTGTTATTCGATGAGTTCAAAACATAGTTGTCACGTACCAATCATCCTTTTTATATTTTTTTGTTTCACTCCTAACTTAATTAGGCTGCACTTCAATTACCCGTAGCGCAATTGGCATCTAACATATTAACTCATATGAAGTTTAACAGGCCAAGTAAACCTATAACTCGATTAGCTCATAGTGGTTAACTAAAAAACTTGATTGACATATAATCAAATTACCCAATTTGAATCTACATCAATCCAATCACCCCTCCCGAATTCACCCAAAATCCTAACCCGTTTGAAACCTATGGCCCATTTGGCCTTGTTAGTCTATAACTTAATTGATTGAAGCATTTAGGCTTGTTTGGAACCTCTGAATCTAAAAAATTGTAGTCCGAGTATACATGTATTACTTAGCATCAGGGGCGGAGCTACAGCGTCCTTCGGGAGCCCCGGCCCCCCAGAATTTTGGAGTAGGACTAGGAGCCCCTAGGACTTTTATCGAAATACTAAAATTAGGCCGCATACAACATTATAACAAATATATTTAGGTGGCATGCAAAAATTATAGGGTTCGAACCACACATACACTGAATGGCTTATATTTTTAGAGTCTATTATGATTTCCGATCCCACTTTTATTTTTTAATAATTCCTACTCTATTATGATTCCCGATCCCACTTATATTTTTTAATAATTCCTGTCAGTCCTTACAATTCTCGGAACTCCCATTGCTTTTAATAGCAAAAAAAATCAAAAAGTGAAACCCTAAAGCCTAGCTAATCCCAATTTCCCAGAGAACAACTGTTGCCGCTAGCCCTCTACTCCCTACTGCTATTGCCGCCAGCCCTCTACTGCCCTACTGCTTGATTTTCAATTTTCATTCTAGCATATATGTTTTCGATCGGCCAGTAACAGGTGAGTGCTTTTTTATGCTACCTTTTTGCATTATGTTCCAACTTTCCTACACAAAAACCTAGGCTTTCTACCTTTCCATGATTTTATCCCTTCCCTTGCTAGTTTGTTTTACACGCACAAACCATTGAAAATGAAGGAAAAGAATGACGGAATTTGTCTTCTTTTGGGACTTGGTGATGTTTTGAGATAGATAATTATTAGTCAAAGGGGGAATAATTCCCACGTCAAAATTTCTTCTTTTAATCACAATGCTAATGGTGACACTGATAGTATGATATCAATCGAAAAGTTTATTTGCTATAGCAAAAATATTTTATTATACTATAATTAGTTTTCTTATGTGCGTTCATATTTTTCTTTTAGTGAATATGAAGAAAAAACAAAAAACAATGGATTCATTCTTTCGAAAGGTGTCGGTACAAGCTATTGATCCTTTAGAGAGAGAAGAAGACAAAGAGGAAGAAGAAATTTCACATCCATCAAGTGGTACTCAGGATTCTCCTCCCACTTCAACAGTTACCAATCCATCTTTCTCTATAGTTGAACGTGATCCTGGTTTACGCAAGCCAATTTGGACATATCCACATGACAAACATGATGAGATAAGGCGGGCATATTTGACAAGCGGTCCTAACCGAGTTCGACTTCCTAATTTTCCTCAAACTCAGTATGCTGATCATTTTCGCAGCTTCCAGCCTTCATGGTATGATCAATTTCATTGGATTGAATATTCAGAAACAAAGGATGCTGCTTATTGTCTTCATTGCTATCTCTTTGCTGAAAAGCCAAATACTAAATCTGGTTGGGATGCATTTACACATGGAGGTTTTCGAAATTGGAAAAAGGTTGGTGGACTGGCTTGTTCTTTTCGTAAGCATATTGGGGATGGCCCGAATTCTCATCATAATATGTCGTGAAAAAGGGTGCTGCTTTGCTACAACAATCTGGCCACATCGACAAAGCAATGGAGAGACAAACATCTGAAGAAGTGCAGAAGAATATAACCCGTGTGAAAGCTTCAATAATTATTGCTCGTTTGTTGGCACTGCAAGGAGTCGCTTTTAGAGGTCACGATGAGACTGAAGAGTCAAGTAATCGTGGCAACTTTATTGAGTTTCTTCAACTTCTAGCTGATCACAATGAAGAAATAGGTCGTGTGGCATTGGATAAAGCTAGGGGTGGTAAACGGTAATCCGGTAAACGGTTTACCGTTTTACCGAACCGGTAACTGGCGGTAAACGGTAAACTATTTACCGGCGGTATCGGCAGCCGAGCGGGAAGTTGGGGGAGTCGGTTTACCGGATACGGTATCGGTAAATACCGATGGTAAATCGGTATTACCGATACCGAATCCCCCCTCCCTACTCCCTAGTGCTACGCTGCGTTTTGTTGCTTTACCCCTAAAAATATAAAATATTACATACATGAATGTAAGTATAGGCCTCAAAAATATTGTAAATAAGAGTTAATAATAAATTATTAATTACAAAAATGATGAACAAACTCAAAATATTACAACATCACCCCACTTCAGAAATTCGGTTCGGTAAATATTCGGTATACCGACCGAAAAACCGCCCGAAATTGCTTCTCACGGTATTTCGGTAATACCGGTTTGTAACCGTTTACCGGTAATTCGGTAATCGGTAAACCGGCTACAAACCGGTATCGGTAACCGGTTTGGCCAACTTCGGTATACCGAAACCGGTAAATTCGGTAAACGGTAACTTGTTTACCGACCGAATCCCGCCCCTAGATAAAGCTCCACCTTATGCGAAGTACACATCTCATGAGATCCAGAAGCAAAGTTTGCATGTTTTGGCTAAGAAGGTACGAAATCACATCTTTGAAGAAGTTGGAAATTATAAATATTCTATCATTGTGGATGAGGCAAGTGATGAAAGCAGTCATGAACAAATGGCTATTGTTCTTCATTTTGTTGATGCCAATGGGTTGATACAAGAGCGCTTTTTTTATATTGTTCATGTGGAAAATACAACATCGAAGACATTGTATTCTGCAATTCGCTCGATTCTTTCATTCTATAAGTTCCCAATTCAAAATCTTCGTGGACAAGGATATGATGGTGCTAGTAACATGCGTGGTGAGTGGAATGGACTGCATGCTTTATTTTTGAAGGACTCCCCTCAGGCCTATTATGTACACTGTATGGCTCATCGCCTCCAGTTATCATTGGTTGCAGCTGCTAAGGAAGTATATTGGGTACATGAGTTTTTCAGGAACTTATCATTTATTATAACTGCAGTTACTGGTTCTTGTAAGCGTAAAGACCAATTAGAAGTTGCAGAAGCAGCCAAGATTGCAATTCAGCTAGCGGCGGGTGAAATTGAAACAGGAAAAGGAGCTAATCAGGTTAGTACTTTACAATGACCTTGTGTACTCGTTGGAGTTCACATCTAAGATCTATATCTAATCTTATCAAGTTGTATGGTTCAACTTGTAAAGTTTTGGAGAACATAACAAACGATGGATGTAGCTCCAATGCTAAGTGGGATGCTACTAGTGCTTTGGAAAGAATGAAGTCGTTCGATTTCATCTTTATTTTGTTTTTTATGAAGGAAATACTGAGCACCACTGATATGCTTTCTCAAGCTTTGAAACGGAAGTCCCAAGACATTTTCAATGCAATGATACTGGTGGAGTCTACAAAAAAGCTCTTGAATGAATTCAGGGATAAAGAGTGGGATTCTTTGCTAGCAAAAGTCGTAGGGTTTTGCAAGCAATATGATATTGAGGTTCCTGATCTTAGTGCTCCATTTTTCAGAGGTCGATCTATTCGAAAGAGAGATGTTACAAATGAACATCATTATCATTATGATGTATTCAATGCTGCTATTGATGTTCAGATGACAGAATTGGGGTCAAGATTCAATGATAGAGTTGTATTCGATGCTGCTATTGATGTTCAGATGACAGAATTGGGGTCAAGATTCAATGATAGAGTGGTTGAGTTGTTGAAGCTTAGCTCAAGTTTGAATCCTAGAGATGGATTTAAAACCTTTGACATTGATGCTATTTGCAAGCTTGCAAGAGAGTATTATCCTCTTGATTTTTCAGATGATGACATTGATACATTGAAGTTCCAGTTGAAGATGTTTCAGGTTAATATTCCTAATTATCCTTATTTGGAGAAGCTATCATCTATTGCTGATCTATGTAAGGAGTTAGCAAGTACAAGGTTGGGAAAGGAATACAGCCTTATTGATAGACTGATTCGTCTATTATTGACTCTTCCAGTTTCCACTGCTACAGGTGAACATGCATTTTCAGCTATGAAGATAGTGAAGAATAGACTGCGAAACAAAATGAATGATGATTTTCTTGCTGACAGCTTAGTTATTTTCATTGAACGAATGATAGCTAAGAATTTCAGATTATATGATATATTGAGTGATTTTGTAGATCTCAAAGAACGTCGTGTGCTTTTCAAATAATTATTTTTATACATTAATTTTTATTTTTTAATATCGCCCCCCCCCCCCCCGACCTTGAAATCCGAGCTCCGCCCCTACTTAGCATACAATCTTTTTTTTACTTGTTTTATTCACATAATGCATATATAGAGAATGCATGATGTATTCATAATACATAGAAGATGATGTATATTTTTTATACTAATATCTGAATATTTTATTAAGTGTTTATAGCATCATGGTCTAAATCACAAAGGAGGAAAACAGGTGGCCTGCCAACCCATTCCTCTTGAGAGTCTCAGTTACATTTTATGTGGGCTAGAGTGTGAGCAGCCCTCTTACACTCCCTTTTTGCAAAATCCAACTTCACTGGCCCAACTACTTCTGCTTTGTCCTTCAGCTCGGTCACCACCACGCGCCTCCATCCTAGTCGTCTCCGCCCCTGTCATTTTGAGAACAGCCATCTGACAATCCGATTCTACAATCGCCAGCATCATTCCATTTCTCTCTACCAGTTCCAGCCCCAAAAAGCATTGCTCTCAGCTCGGCAATCTCCGGCGGCCATTGAACTCGCTCCCTCTGAACTGCAGCCTCCAGGAAATGCCCAACAGCATCCCTAGCTACCACTCCAAAGCCGCTTCCGCTCCCTTCGAAAATCGCTGCATCAACATTGATCTTGAACCAATTCGGCGGCGGCTTTGTCTAGGTATGGCTTCCAACCTGCCTCTCTTCCTCGACCATTTCCTTTGTTTGATAGTATTTAACTCCGTTCGAGTGATTTAGGGCTCTCCCAACCACTTCCCATTCTTCCACCTTTTTTGTGAAATTTAGTATCTATAGTTCGTTTCATGTATAATCCATGCACTTTTCTATTTTTTTCCAAACAAAATTTTCTTAAAACCCACACATTTTTAATAAAACACATAATCTTAAATCTTACACACATTCTTATAAAGTTATAAGTTATAACCAAGGATTGAAATACCATACCGTAACGGTGGTTCAACTAGAAAAATCTCCTACCAGAGTCTAAACCGGTAGGCTGTATTTAGCAGTATGAATCGGTTGAACCATGGTTAAACTACGATTTTAGTATAAAATACCATATTGCTGACTTTTTTGGTACAAGCTTGAATCAGGTATTTCAATCCTTGGTTATAACTAATAACTAGGCCTGCAAATGAGCCAAGCCGCTCGCGAGCAACTCGGCGTTCGAATCAGAAAAAACTCGTTCGACACTCGACTCGTTGTTTAACAAGCCGGCTCGCGACTCGGCGTTCGAATCAGAAAAAACTCGTTCGACACTCAACTCGTTGTTTAACAAGCCGGCTCGCGAGCCGGCTCGTTAGTAAACGATCCAAGTTTGATAAGCTCGTGAGCTAGCTTAACTCGCTGGCTTATTTAAAGCTTGTGGAAGGATTAATTACTCTTCTGAACATGAAAATTATCTTGTTAATAAGGATGTGTATGGAAGTTAGATGTTATTTTTAGTTTCTAGTGTTCTTTTTATCATTTTTAATTTCTAATGTTCTTATTTATACACATTTTTCAGCAAGAATGGTTTCAAATCGAGCTTATCTTGAGCCGAGCTTGTACTAAGTTTGACAAGTTGTGTTAATAAGCATTTAACGAGCTCTATCGAGCTGAGGTCGAGCTGGATTATTTTTAATAAAGTCGGGCTCGAGCTCGAACTAGATGATCGAAATTCAAGTTCGAGCCGAGCTCGAGCTAAAAAATTTATAAACGATCCGAGCTCAAAATAAGCAAAAACTCGGCTTGGCTTATTTGCCGCCCTACTTATAACCCACCATTTCCGAAAGTAAAGGTTTTAATTTAAGGGCTAATACCACTACAACACCCGAACTATTCCAAAAATGCCACTTGTGTCCTATTGTTTTCAATATTCCATCTGTGTCCTGAACTATGATACTTTGTGCCATTTGTGTTCTGTCGGTTCTGTTGACTGTTAAGTATTAACGATTGACCAGACGGCTTTTCAAACGACGTCGTATTGCTGCCACGAGTCTTACCCGTGGTGGACACGTTGATGCCACGTCAAATGGGAATTTTTTTTTTTTTACAAATGGAAATTAAAGTTTTTACCCATCCTATATTTACTACTTCCCATCGACCTAATTTCTTATCTTTCCACCCTTTCTTCTCCTCTACCCAGCCAAAGTGCCAAACTTGGTTTGCTCGAGTGTGGCTTTCGAAGAAGATGACGACGAGGACAGGCTGTTGTGTTTGGGCAGGCGCATATGGAGAAGTAGCGAGGGCGGGGCTTGCGTTGCGTCGGCGCGGAGTGGGTGTCGGGGTAGTGGCGGTGACGAGCCACGAGGAGCTGCGGTTGGTATTTGTGTTGGGGCGAGGAGATTCGACTGTGAAGACCCAAATTGCAATGTCAATCCGCCAGAAAAGAGCCTTACCATCTATTTGGTACATTAATAGTTGATTTTGGTAATTTAGGGTTTCTTTCAATTGGGGATTTAGTGTCCTGTTTTCGTGGCAGTAATTCAAAAATGTCCAGAAGAGGGTCGCAAAGCATTTCTGAGTCGAATTCATCAAACTCGCGTACAGTTAAATGCCGGCATAATATACCAGCTTTTCTGTATGTTTCTCAAATAGAACTGAATCCGGGGAGGCAGTTCTATTGTTGCCCTCATTGGCAGGTAAATGAAGTAGTGGTTTGTTATTTAATTGTTATTGAGATGGGCAATGATCTCACCATGGGTTGATTTCTACATGGCAGGATGAGGAAGAAAGTTGTCGTTTGTTCATTTGGGCTGATACTCTGAACGAAGACAGTGAAGGTGCTTGCTCCAATGGGGTTGTTGAAGGGAATGAACATATCAGGTCGAACCTTGGTTTGATAGACTTTCAGACTGAAAGCTTAAAAGAGAGTTTAAGGGTTGCCGAAGAAAAAGCAGTGCAAAGAAAGAAGGCCTTAAAATTGTTGTATGGTGATTTAGCTAGCATTAGAGAAGAGAATGCTAGGTTTATTGGGGATTTAAGGTTGGCCAATACTCGTCTGTTGTGTGTTTTGGTCGTTTTAGCAGCCTTAGTTATAGGGATAGTTATTGTAGGTTTGAATTCCTCCAGCATGTTCTAATCTGTTCTTGTTGTAAGCAGTTGTGCGAACCTTGAATATGTTACTTATCTAATGGGATCTTTCTTTGTATTTTAACCTGAATCTAGTGGCTATACCAGTTTGTGTGTAATAATTATGTAACCAAAATGCAGGCAACATCAATTCACAAAACAGCTGCTTTTACATTCACATAAACATATCATTACCAAGGTACCTGAAATGTCATCCCTTAAGGTACCTAAAATGTCGATCCAATGTTTAGGAAATATACACAATTTCCATGGATCTACAGGTAACCTACCATACAAAAGGTTGATCCAACTTCAATGTCACATATTAAAACGAATACCACAGATATGCTAGAGGTAGGCTACTATACAAAAACACATTCTACTGCTATCTAAACTACTACCGAGGTTGTGAAGGTTGCGTGGCAGGTGGTTGAGATCCACCTTGATCTATCTCAGTAGGAGCTGCATTCTGAAGGATCCTTCCACTTCTTAGCGTTCTGCCATGTCCATTGGGACCATTGAGGATAACATAGGTATTACCCAAATCAGTGTGCAGAACTCCAATCCCTTGGTTAGCCTGCACATTCGTGTATGAAGTTCTCATATTAGAGCTATTTATCACAGACAAAAACATAAACATCAAATAGAATTGACACGAAATGCATTCTGATTATTCACATAACATCCTCTTCGCATAAATCCGATCCCTATAGCATTGCCTCATGGATATCTGAACGTTGTGTGCTTGCCTTATTTCAACCATCATGTTCTTGACCTTCCAATTTGGCTCCCTTCTGAATCTATCGAGATACTTTTTAGCAGCCCAAACAGCATTTGCAACCTTCATTCTTACAGACCTAGGACATGTGTGATCCTTTCCAACATTCTTGGTCATAAAGCAAGAACGTCCATGCCAGCTTCCATAAACGTACCACCCGCAGTTGTTACGGCATTGAGCAAGCTTCTTTTGCTTGTCACTCCTAGTCCATCTCATATAAGCTCCAATGGCAATGCAATGGTTTTCAACGGCCTCCTTGAACTGCTCGGGGTTGTCAAATGTCATGCCCACAGCCAACTTAAGGGTTGAATGGTCACACATAGGGTCATATCGAGGTCCGTTTTCTAGAGGGCTACCTTTGTCTTCGTCATCAATGTTCCCCCTCACGTGGCGTGACTCAATTGAACCCCGGTAGGCTGAATCTTCCACAACCCTGTCCCTCAAGTCCTCGTTATCAACCTCATCCGCACCAATGGTCTCACTATTAACTCTGCCTTCATCCACAGGTGGGTCACCATCAACAAACAATGACTCTTGCTCTACCTCCTCCCCAGTTTGATCAACACGAGTACGAACTCGTCGTGGTCTGACTCCTTGCTCCTCCATTGCATCAATGAACTCATCATCAGAAGTACGGATATCATCATCCATGAGATGGATAATGTCTCGGTTTTGTGAGTTATCCCCATCCTCCGAATCACCATCATCAGATAACTCTTCTCCAAGTTCTTCATTGTCCCCGATTTGAGTTTCTATTGCTTCCATGAATATCATAATTTTTCCATCTTCTATGGCTGGGAGCAAGCCATCCATCACCTCACTATCAAACCGTATTTCAACTAGACCATTATCCAAAGTGTCGGAGGGTGCCATGTACCACAGCCTCTCAACCCTTGCATAATCGAAGTGGACTGTTACAATTTGTTGGAGTTGGAAGAACGAGACATAATCTATGTCCATGTCAACAGCCTCTGACTTGCCATTTATGTAGTGAATACCATCATCAGAATATTCCATTTTCCCACCATGATGGACAATCAACTCCACCAATGTCGACATCCTGCAAAACCAAACAATCCCCATTTAACAATAGCCTAAATTCATCGAATTCAGACATTAAGCATACTATAACCACCCCTAATATTCTATTCCGTAAAGCATTCCACAAAGCATTTGACTCGACTACTTTGCTTCTGGAAAACCACAAAACTGATTCCCATCTCAATTGAATAATCCGAACCAAGACAACGACTTCTCAACCACCAACGTAAATGACCAATACGTACTAATTTCACCCATATCATACCTGTTACTGAAGTTGCCAAAAGGGTAAATGAGTCTTGACATTGTCCTCGTGGTCCCTGCTTTTCAACCTTTTCCCAGAGAATCTCGAGCTTTAACACCAGCGAAGCAGCTACGCCATTTACTCCTTTGTACTATTTCTGGCACCTTCTTTGCTTCCCAACCACCCAGTCACCCTTCAAATACTTCCAACACTCCAGAAAAGAGACCACAAAGCATCAAAGAGAAACCCTAGAAAATTTGGGGGAAACACAAATCCCTCAAATACGCGCCTTCTTCTTCAAATGGCTGCTCGAATCCTTCAATGGTGGACGATTTGAAGGCTGTGAATGTTCCAGGAGATGTCGAGAAGAAAGAATCGGCGATGGTGGTCGTGGCTCGATCTTCGTCGGACAGAGGAGGCTGAAGAAATCGCCTCCCCTCGAGGAATCGATCACCCTCTTTCCGTCTTCCCCGCTTCTCGTGTTGCTGAAGGCCTTCACCAGCGCCGAATCGAAGGCCCCATGCTCGAGTAGAGGAGAATCACCAGCGCCGATAGTCTTCTTCGTCGGGAGACTGTTTAGGGTTCTTCCTCTCCTTCGCTCAATTCTCTCTCTTTGATAGTAAATAAGGTAAATGTGGTTGGTGAAATGGCCACACAAAATTTACCTTCTGATTTCATTTTAGTTTTTTAAAATAAGAAATAAATAAAGAGCCACGTCACAATTAGAAAGAGCAACGTCCACTTACACATCAGCGTTGATCTGTCATTCCGTTAAAATTTAACGGTCCACAAAAGTCAACGATAACAGAATCATAGTTCAGGACACAGATGGAATATTGAAAACAATATGACACAAGTGGCATTTTTGGAATAGTTCGGGTGTTGTAGTGGTATTAGCCCTTAATTTAAACGACCGCTTAATTCACTAAAAAACAAAATCCATTCACTCTGAAACCTCGATTCACTCGAAACCCAGGTTGCCACAATTCATATCAAACGCTGTCGTCACCGGCCCAGGTTGCATAGCCGTCCCAATTGCCGTTCACTCTCTTTGGCAGTCTTTAGGGTTCTTCGTGGAAGCGATAAAATTCTGCTCGGCCTCTCACCGCACTCTCCCCGGTCATTAGCTCATTGGCGACGCGCTTTCGGTATCCCGTTGGCGGCATGTTTCTGCTATCACCGCAAAAGTGAACGGTTGTACTCGGCGTTACTTCTCCTCGCATTGTAATAGCTTTTGCTGAGATTACTCGGGTTGTTCCATATTTATCGAGCAAACAAAAATGGTGGAAAGGAAGCTCTTCAAGACGAAGTTATGCATACTGTATCAGAGAGGTCACTGTCACCGCCAGAACTGTTCATTTGCTCATGGGAGCGCTGAGCTCCGGCACATCGGAGGCTCTTTCAACGGTAATTGGCCCTCGATTTCGTTTCAGTGTTCCAAACTTATACCCCCGGGCAGCTATTGCCTCAGCTATTATACCTCGGTCATCTCTATCTGGACTTATTTTCCCTTTCCCTTTCGTTTTCTCTTCGTTTGTTTGTTTGTTTGTTTGTTCTTTCGTGCTGTGTGCACGATGAAGGTGTTTTCATCAGTCACGAATGCTGGAATTATGGTTTATCTGTGCTATAATTACATGATGCGACCTGCACGATGATGACATTGAATGACCCTTGCTGCTGGTTGATTACTTAGCTACGCCTTTGGGGTTCATTTGGTTCTTGGGTTTGTGGCTTCCACTTACGAATATTCTTATCATGCCAATTTGCTGAAGTTCTTCCTTGATGGGTTTCGTTCTTAGCTGTTTGTGAGAGGTGAATGTTTTCTACAAGTTGATTTGGCAATGAGTGGGAGAGTCAAGATACACAAGCAGCATGGAGCGTGTATTAACTGGATTCTCAGGATTCTCAGCCATCATATTACCTTCCCGAGATAGTTACTGGATTAGGGCCACATGTTGGGGTTTCAGATGGGGAGTAACATCCTTGACCAGACTTTCTTCCCACCAGAATTGCTGCTGCTGTATGCTTAAGATGTCGTGATAGGGATATCATGATCATATTTCTATACACTATCATAATATATCTTCCTGCATCAACAGTATCATATATGCTTCAAAAATGGATCAGAACTGGAGTTGTTGAAATGCATCTCTGATGATACGTATGAGACAACTGGTACAGGACAATCTCAAACTTCATTTCCAAAACTTTCAGTGGCCTGTGGGATGGTGGAGATACCCATTATGTGCTCTTCTAATATGATATCTCAAAGCGGTCTCTTTAATCATCGAACTCTTTCTCGAAGATGCAAATCTTTGTCACGTGAGATCAATTTTGAATAATTAACATTTCTTGAGGGAGCTGCAGGATGCCGATAAATTGACTACTATACCTCTTATTGCTCTGAAGACGCAGTGTATAAGTACTTATCCAAGTTCTACTTCAACAATTGAAGAATTCTCTCATTCCCACATTTTTATGTGGCCAATTCTATTACTATTCCTTATTAGTGGAGTTCTTTCTATAAACCCTTGGAATCACCGCAGGCAGTATTTATGTTCATTGTTATGTTACTAATATTTGTTCCATATGATGGTAAGCTTACCTCATAATCATTGTGATTACTTGAGATAAAATAAAAAATTGTGATCTCTTGCTTTAACTGAAAGACTGCAGAAAATGACCACTATGCTTAATTGTAATTATCATTCTGTCCAGCCGCAGATAGAAGGAACAATAGAGGAGGTGACCTTAGGGATAAGCTTGGCAAGAGGCTTTCTCCAGAGAGAAAGTATTCTCCGGATGGAGATTCCAGAGGCCGCCGAAAATTTCCCGGTGAGAGTTCACACTGTTGCTTACAGTTTTCAACCCAAGCTTAATTGATTCATTCATTCTACAACATCGACATTCTACAATATGCTGGGTTGTTTCCATCTTATCCTATCATCTCCACCTCAGGTTGGGTAAAATTTGGGGGTTTTCATTCTGCTACTTGCTTTTAAAATAAAATTTTATTTATATTTAATTCTCTTTTTCGGTTGCAGGGTCTAGCACTTCAAGATCACCTGAGAGAAACGGGTAAACAATTGAGCTGTAGCTTTACAATTCATAATGTACTAATGTTTGTTATGCATGGGAATGTAAAGTTCTATTGTGTTAGGTTACGTAAGTTGCATCTGTCACGATTACGTAGCTGTGACCAGGGCATGCTTTGTCGCAGTTGCATGCTCTGCCACTACTCTGCACTGGGAACTCTAAAACGGTTATGCTTGAGGGATCCTATTGAAGCATTTATAGCCTTCTTTGATGTTTCATGACACTACTCTTGTAATACATCCACAAGCTCATTTATTCCTTGTTGTCGCAGTCCCCAGCACTGTGAAAACAAACCATTCCCTTACTTGCTGGATCAGTACAGGGGCCTTTGCTTTGTTCTTCTGCTCTTCATTTAACTCATTCATTGCACCATCATCAGCCATGTATTTTCCTGCTTCATATGCGAAATGCAAATCCTTCTAACTACTATCACCAACTCCAATAATTCTAATGATAGCTTTGAGACAGCAACAATCATTTCATTTTCATAGATCAAGCTCCATAATTGGTACCCTTTCAAATTTGGGATATATTGAAGACCTGAAGTGCCCTTTGCAACTGGTTTTCCTTGCATCACTCTATCAGCACTCTCCCAAAAAGTACATGCAATGATAAGGGACATGATTTCAAATTGACCACCAAAACTTCTTTACATACAATTGCATACGCTGCTTTTTATTTTGTACATCGAAGCTGAGTTTGCCTTGTCATCATGATTTGGTATATATATGTCTACTTGCTACTCAATGACTATGGTTGTCTTCAAGCATCAAATCTTTTTTCCATCCAGTGACAGGAAGCGAAGGAGAAAGAATCTGTTTGATGTCCAGAGTGACATGAAAGTCTCAGATGGTATGGAAGATCAGTTAAGAAAGCAAAAAAGTGCATCTGATTCCAGACTAGCTCTTGAAAAGCAGGTTCGGAACAGCTTGTATTTTGTGTCTTATTTTGTCAGTGTCTGCAAGCATCATTCCCTTGGTTTGAGACGGTTTTGTTTGGTAAAACACAGTTCAAGGAAGTGCAGGCAGATATTGACATACTTGATCGCGACAGATCTCAGTTGAGGGTAAGTACAATGCCTCTTTTTCTCTTCTCTTACATTCAGTTCCTATTCCTTTTATGGGGCATTTGGATGTTGGATTTGAGACATGAAGGATTCTGTCTAATCCTTAGATTTGAAACATAAAGGTTTGGTGATCGATTTGGAGATTTTGTTGTTTGGATGTTGGGTCTCATGGATTGACTACTGGATTGGGGAGATGTTGACAAAATGAAGGGTTATACCAAATCTACATGCTTGATCTTCACTATCAGCTGATGTTATGAGGCACTCATTTCTTTTGCAATTCATAGTCCTTGCCAGTGGATTTTGGCATGTTTGATGTGGTCAATCTTAAAAATGACCTTGTACTCGTTTCGTCTTTCTCACAATTCTTCAATCTATTTTCTTTGCGTTTGTTCTATTTGCCATTAGTAATCTCTGTTTCTGTTGTTGACACCTTAATTGTTCTTTCTGTCATCCCAAGATCTTAGTGGAGGAGAAAGTTGAGGAAGCAGATAGTCTTAATTCTAGAATTGAGGAGCTTGAGTCTCAGCTTTCTAGAGAGAAAGAAGAATGTAAAAGGTGATTGTTGAATAAAGTAACATAATGCTTCACAGTTTCAGTTTAATGATTCTGGTGGTTTTTGCTTATGATGTGCTTCCTTCCTAACTTCCAGGATTACTTCGAAAATAAAGAAGTTTATTAGAGCACAAAAACGTTATGTCCGGGATCAAGACGAACTCAAAAGGTAGTTCCTTAAATTGCAGTGTGCTTCTTTTTTTCATTTTATGTTACCATAGCTTCTTCCATAACTCTCGCAATAAAAGCTTCTTCCATAACACAACCTATTCATGGAACTACTCATAGGTCACAAGGCCGACTGCAGAAGTTGGGAAATCAGCTTGGGTCTAGTCTTTCTGTAATGGACGGCAATGAAGAGGACTCGAGCATCAATATTGTCAGTGATGGTGAAAACAATACTAATCATGGGACCACCAGGAGGAATGAGGTCCAGAATTTTTCTTCTGTCAGCAAGAAAAGTTTGTCCGATAAAAGGGATGTCGTTGAAGAACTATTCCAAGGTAATAATCTAATCCACGGATGATTTTTTGTGCTTTTCAGGGAACTTTCTGGTTCATGAATTGATGCTTGTTACCTATTGTTGCCTTGCTTTTTGGTGGGTTTGAAATATCCACTGCAGCACTGGAAACCTCATCCTACAGTTAGATTCGCTTGTGGATTTGGTTTTTCATTGATATGCCGTTGACATTTTCTTATCTCAGTTAGTTACATATGTGATGTGCTTGAGCAACCAGCCGACATTCTAAGAAAATTGCCAAAATTATTTTGGGAACTGAAAAAAAATGGATTTTGGAATTTGAAAGTCAATTGAGGACCAACATAAACTTGTGGAGTCTTGAGCATGCACACACACTCTGTAGTGAAAAAAAATATAATTTGCCAAATTTCAATTAGCTTTCTTCTGTTTGTTAGGCAACCCAGCCAGCGGCGGAGCACATCATGTTGAGACTTTTAAAATGGATTACCTTCCAAATGTACCAGTTCGGTCGACTGTCAACAAGGACACTGAATTGGTGCTCAGTGGGAATGATGGTCGTGGACAGCAGGGAAGTAAGGGGAAGCAAAGAGGAGGTAAAGGTGCTTCTTTCAGCACACCACCTTCCGATAAGGTCTGTTTGTCCCTTTCCCTTTAGTAATTCTTGGGTGCTTTCTGTTTCCTTTTATTAATTTTGTCAAACCAACTTCTGAATTGTAGCAAAAGGGACCATCTGGTTCCATGGCTTTGATACCATCCACCAGCATTGCTGCTCATGCATTTGATGAGACGGTAGACATTGAAGGTGAGGAGAAAGTAGAGGTGGTTGAAAATGTTTCTGCAGCAGGTTTCAATAATGGAAGCTCCTCCGATGAACCCAGAAGGAGGTTCTCCTTCTTGCCTCCCCTGCTTCCTTCAATCTCCAAAAATCATTATTCTCAGGTAATGTAATCGTCCATGGCATGTTGCACTTTAATTCATCTCCACGGCTGTCTTGAACATGACACTGGATATCTCAATCAAAATCTGGTTGCTCTCACTTGCAGTACAAGGGTAATGATGAGAGCGTGAATGGGGATGACGAGATGGCGGAGGTGGACATAGTTTGATGGCCCTGTTGCTGCCCCTGCTGCTGCATATTGCTTTTTGGATTCGTGTCGACGGCACTTCAATCCTCGGACGCTGTTTGATGGCATATCAGTTTTTTTTTTTTTTTTTTTTTTGTATAGCCCTTTTGTTTGCTGGTCGACTGTTTTAGTTTTGTATGAAGTCTTTTACGTCGACGAGGATAGTTTCCTAAAAGCAAGGTGCTAAGCAACGACAGAACATTTGTAGGGTTTTCCAGGAGGAACAGAAGCGACTTGTTTTATTTTTATTATATATCTGTGGTTGTCTTAAATTTGGTTCATACTGTTGCTTGGGAAGTGCGTTCCGATATATATTTGATTCCATATCGGGAAAAGAGCTTTAAGCTAGTTAATTGAAATCTCCATAAAGCTAGGATTAGAATGAAACACGCCCAAAACTATAGTGCGCTGTACATCTCCCAATTCCAATTCCAGTCTGCCTGGTCTGAAGTCTTTAGTTTATATGAAAATTTTGAACAATCCAAGTGATAGGACAACAATACAGCAAGTATTTCCCACTTTTGCCAGTGTGTTATTCATGGTGGAAACGTGAGAGGTTTCCATCTCTCCCTGGTTTCTCCACTCTGCAAACTGCTAAAATGAAAAGGTTGAAAAGATCCACCAAGCACCTGCAAGACACGGATTTGATATCTATCACGCTGAGGCACCATGTTGCTGTTGCTGCGGCTGCTGCCATTGCCACTGCCACCATAGTAGGCAGTGGCAGTGAAGATAGGTGACGAGTCAGTGGAGCAATCCAATAGGGTGAGACAGTATCGTCATGGGAAAAAGAAAGGGATGTCCCAGTCGAGGCCAAAGCCTTTACTGGGTTGAGTACAGGAGCATGTTGACAGCGCAGGATCAGAGATGTATATGACTTGGTTAGAAGAGTTTATGGTTGTGACAGGGTAGCAGCCAGTGTGGGAAGTAAAAGTGAGCTTGCCTTGGTTGCAAGTAACCTATTTTCGGAAGCGTGGATCGCCACAGCCAAGGCCTGTTCGGAAAAGGGAAATATGTGGGATGTTGCCTTTTGTGTGTTTACTTGTTTTGCAGGCAAGATCCTTACTATCATGCCTAAAAGCAAACCCCGGCTGGATTCTACTAGATACATAAATAAGGCCGGGGCTTACTTGTTCAGCACGCTGCCTAGCTACACGGCTAGATCAACAACTGCAAATCGAGTGCCTTCCCAATAAAACAACTGACCCCTATTTGAAGTTGTATGGAAGCAATGAATCGGAAGCAGAAGCCACGCACTACACTAGACAATCAATCTGGAAATGACCAACAACATGTTAATGCAGGAGGAGTACAGGGCATGTTTCAACCATGTTCACTTCAGGAACCCCACATCAAACAAAAGTACAGGCAGGCAACTAGCTCCAGAATCCAAGTTGAAAGCTTTGCCTAGCCTAAGGGCAATCTTCAATTACCAGAGTTCCCTACAAACCAAGTCTTTTCTCCATGTTTCCCAATCAATCACCATTCAGCTACAAGTCCCCATCTGGAAGGAAGAGTCACTCGGGCACTTCTTCAATCTCCGACACGGTCGTAAGGCGAGGGCGGGGGCGTGGACGAGGCGCGGAGGTCGATGGTAGCTCCGTACCGGGGATGGAAACGAGATCCCTGATCCTGGCTACCTCCTCCCTCAAGCTCCCTCAAGTTGGCCATCTCCCGACCCAAACTTTCCATCGTGACTGGCGCCTCATTGATGTCAGGCTCAGGCGTCGGTGCGGTTCCCAGCTCCACCTCCACTCGGCCGGAGCTCTCGACGTCGGGCCTCGGTGGGGCCGGCAGTGCCAGGCGTGCGACGAAAGCTAGTCGGAACAAAGATAATGATTATAAAAAAAAAACAAAAATTTAAGATAATCAAAGAATTGGGAAGTTACTGTCATTTTAATTACCTCGTGGGATCTTGGAGCGCACATATTCCCAGTACGTTGATCTCAGTACCAAGAGGATGGTACTGAATCCCACTCTGTATCTACGGTGGTGGGACAAGTACAGAGCTCCTATTACCACCAAAATGGTGACGCGCCCAACGAAAGCTACCGCGTAATGGATCTGCATACCATCAAATTAATCAGTTATCATAACTTTCATGAATTGAAACACAATCAACATGTTACACATTGCTCACCGCGATAATCTTGTTGTGGAACAGAACGCCATAAAGGCACAGATTCAGGCTTCCGGACGCACCCAACACCGAGGAGAAAACCGAGAGCTCAGCAGCTGTGTCTTTCTTGAAAACCACTTTCTGGCCAAGGATCACATTTTCGATACACACATGTTGTATAATACAAAAAGATCACTCGAGTAAGTAATATGCCCAAATCAGTTCAGTTGTCACACCCTCTCCTACCTAATGTTTCCAACACACACATTTTTATGCTTGGGGTTAAGTATCACTAATATGTTAAACTAATTGTGGTGTCTACTAGAATTAGGCCACCTTAACATCATACAACCACTTACTTAAATTAAAATATACCCATTTGCATAACATCTGGTTGTTATTGTACTGGTGAGAGTCTGGTTCGTGAGTTAGGATGACTAAGCAGACCCATTTACAACCTTGTTTTTAAGAGGTGCACGTGGCCTACCCGTACTTGTCTTCTGGTTCTGGTTCTGGAGTAGAGGAAATGAACTGTTTGCACCCTTATCCCACTATTCTGTCTTCCTTATCATTTTGCCAATTTATGTGCTGTGTATTCTTTTTTGGAAGGAAATTTATGTGCGTGTATGAAGTTAAGGAAGTTGTAGATTAACATACCAGATCGTACACCACCCCCAGTGGCCAGTACTGTGATGAAAGAAAAGCACGTCATGATGGTGCTGACCAACTTCCCACGAACGTGGATCTCCTCGAGGAGGAAGCAGGCCACCGTCACAACCGTCGTCACGAACACGATGGCCGCGGAGTAAAGGCTTGCGACCAAGAGCTTCTTCTTGCGCGATCCCAGGTAGCAGATTGCTACGACCGCGAACAAACTCTCTCCCAAAACTTCGAGGCAGGAAAGCGCGAGCAGGTTGTAATTGTCGAGGAAGATGATTGGCGTACAGTACCTGCCATTTAAGGGGAAGCGAGTTACTAGACAGCTTAGGCAAATGACAAAACTAAATTGTGAAACTATCACTACAACAAAAGTTAGCTTTCTGTAACCAATTGTGATTTAACCAAACAAAATTGGTTACCAAACGTTAGTCATTTAACATATCCTAACAACAATTCGTTCAATGAAAGCAAAATATTTCACAACCAAATTAACTGGTAGTACAATCTTTTAGTTTGGTCAAAAGAAAAGACAAAAGGAAAGGGATTCAAGAAAGCAACCGGTAAAAAGACAAGGAAAGGGAATCAAGAAAGCAAATTAAAAATCTAAAGTCACCAAATTATTTGGTAGAAAATGGTAAAAGTTCTAGCATCCAAGTACTTAATTGTAAATTGCAATCTCAGCGTAACTCACAGTCTGATACTCCGATTGACTCCTTTATCCCATCCAAAACCCTAACCTAACATTTACTCGATCTAAAATATCAAAATTGTCCATCTGGGGAGCTTTCACTCTGTTTCTGAGGAGCATCCTCCATGGAAATTGAAGGCCCTTGGATTGGCTCGCTCAAACATCCTTCAGAGGAGGCTCGCTCGGGCCATGAGTGAATTTGCAATTGCCGACGAATTTGCTCGCTCGCGAAATGTTGCCCTGGTGAGTTTCCGATCTTTCCTCTATAGTGTGGTTCTACGGCTACCATCGCTGCCCCCAACTAACTCTCCAATGCTCTCTCGCTCTCAATTTCCTCCCGTTGTCAGCGACTTGGGATTCGTTGATAGAACGATCTTCTTCAACAAAATTGAGAGATGGCTAAAAGAATCGCAGCGTTCAGCAGAACGCCTTGTTTATGCATCACTTTTTGGTACTTCTCTCAGTTCATCAGACTATGCAATCTGTAAATTGCTCGCTCAAACTCCTTCAAAATTAGAATTCTAATTTCTTCATTATATCTTAGAAAGATTTGCTGAGAGTCAAATGCCTAAGAAGGAAGGGGGATCGGGGACCAGTTGGCTGTGCCTAAGAAGGAAGGGGGATTGGGGATCAAATGCCTCAGGACATGGAATGTAGCATGGACAACTCGCCACATCTGGAACCTACTTACTAAAGGAGGGTCCTGGTGCGGAGCTTGGATATATCTTTATAGAATAAAGGAGAGATCTTTCAGGGAGTTAACTGCAGGAAGCACTTGTTCCTGGGTTTGGAAGCAGATTCTCAAAGACAAGGATAAATTGGAAGCTTTCATTAACTGCTGGGGGACTCGGGTATTCTGGGATAACCAAAGGATGCTCAATTATTCTGTTAAAAAAAGTTTGGGAGACTCTCCAGCCTTCAAGGCAGGCTGTTGCCTGGTTTTAACTAATCTGGTGCAAGCATTCAGTACCAAGACATAGCTTTATCAGTTGGCTTATTGTTAAGAACAGGATCACTACATTAACACAACTCAAATCCTGGAGGAGGATTAGCTATGATACTTGTTTACTGTGTTCTGCAGATCAAGAAAACAGAGATAATATTTTCTTCCATTTCTCCTACTCGACAACTGTGTTGAAATGAAGCTTGCAAATGATTCTAGTATGCTGTCCAAGTTTCCCCAGATTCGAAAATTACCTATCATGGGCTTTACAACAATTTAAGGGGAACAAGCAGGCTGCAAAAGTGGGGAGGCTTGTTAGGAATGTGGCTATCAGTCTGCTATGGCGTGAAAGGTGCTCAAGAGCTCATGTAGGAAAAACGAAGAGTAGCAGCGAAATTGTTCATTCAGTTTGTAGATTGATTGAGCTAGCCAGGCTAGGAAATGCAGTACTTGATATTGAACGTAGAAAAGTATTCTTGTAAATATTGTAGTAGTTGATATAGTAGTAGTGGTTTAAAGGTTGGTTCTGGTTTCGCAGCATTTCTGCAGATGTAGACAGGTAAAAATTCAGATGCTGTTCATTGATTTGGAATGCATGACGACTAATATTTTTTTTTTTATATTGCCCATAAAAAAAAAGATTTGTTGAGAGTCTGTTTCTGATTGAAATTCCTTCGGTGGAATTTGTAGATATTTGAGCGTTTAATAAGCTGATCTATCATCAACTACAGAGCGAGGTGTCGGTTCAACCATCCCCATGATCCAGGTGTGGTAAGCTTTGCCAATGGTTGCTTGAGACACAACGGCCTGTTGTTTCTCGTCCAATCAGTTTCTATCTTGCTGTTTACTCAATTTAGGATTGGGCAATGATGATGTTTGGTTGCCTAGCTGAGTTAATACAAAACGTGATCTCTTTCTTTGTAGTTGTCAAGGTGTTTTGGATTTGACATTTGTTTGTGAATTGACTATCTACACAGAGCTGCTATAGCTGGTAGAGTGATTTCCCTGAACAAGTGTGCCACGTAACCCATGTTGGCTCTTCTTCCTAAGTTGGATGGTAATGGAGGAGGTACTAAATTCTTATAGTTCAGTATCTTTAGGAATGAACTGAGGATATTTGGTGCTTCTGTTGGTTATATCCTATATGTTTCCAGTTTGATGTGTTATAGAAATGATAAGTTCTAATAGTCCCTAAACCTTTGTTGTACTATATGAGGATCTAGAGTTGTAAAATTCATTTTTCTTGCAAATATCACCATCGGAAGCAGGGAACTGGTAAGTTGCGACTCTATATATAATGGCTACCTTCCAATCTGTACATCTTTACTGTGATTGCGTAATCACTGTTGAGTCAAATACGTTGAATAAGAATCACTTTCACACAGTCTCTCCATGATCTAGCTTGAGGAGCAGTTGCAAGCTATTGGAAGGTGAAACGTAGAGCACTTAAGCTGAACATTGTTCTTTTAATTTGAAGAAGTGAGGAGTATTGCCATATGCTTGATAGGTCGAACCAGACTGCTTTTCAAAAAGCTTTCTCACTAGAGTCAACTATGTTTTATACATGTGAGCTTCCTTTCCACTTTGGTAGTGCTACTTATTCTCTAACGAGAAGCTAGAATGGTTTCATATGAATCGATAACATGAAGTTCCAATTGTAATTAGTAGGCTGCATAAACTAATAATTTTGGGTTACTGTAGAGGAATGCCAAAAACTAAGGCTGCCTGTTTTTTGATAACTGACGAACTGAAAATTTGTAGAATCTAGTGTCCATGTCTTGGATTAATAATCATGTTATGTGTCTTTCTTATAAAATTAGTTGTACTGTAGCTAGATTGGTCTTCAAATATCTTGTAAAGCTCCATGCGTTGTCAGAGGATGGCTAATGATGGTGAGTTTACGTCTGCCGTAGTGTGGTTCACATTCATTTGCCTAGTCTAGTCTTAAGCGCTCCTGTTTGATTAGCAGGGATGAATTTCACATACAAGCTCAGAGGTTATAGGGGGGAGACATGTTGGTCATGATTGTGACTAGTCCACCACTTGGATACTACCTAGAACAAGCGTCTTCTCATGGATTGTTCGTCAAGAAGCCTCTTGAAATAAGGCTCAAAGGGTATGGGCTTTGTCATATACTCTTCTTCTTCTCAGGCACATTACTTGTACATATTTTTTAATCATACTTGTTCAGATTATTCACTTGACATTTTTTGTGTAGTGAATCATCACTCTTGTATCCTTCAAAATTTCCCTATCTATTTATACCGGAGTGATGCAATAAGAAAGAGTCTAGTCAATGATAGAGTATTAGTAGCTGAAATATTTAACAGCTATGGAGAATGTTTCTTCAGAGTGTAAGGATCACTTGTTCCATCTATAAAAGCGGTTAAAAATAGTTGTAGTTATATCCTGTTCGGGGGTTTATTCCCTGAATGTTGATTGCATATAAGATAACAAAAATCGATTGCATATTTTCCTATTGTCCCCATACTAAAGATTCATATTGAATAACTTGTGTCTTCCATCAGGTTGTCCCCATTCCCTTTCGAAGTTGTGTTTGGTTACTCAGGTTGCGCATCCTTAACATATCTGATTATGTTGGTTAGGTTGGTCTCAGTTTTCTCCATTGGTTATTAGTTTTTGAAATTAGACGATTTTAATGGCTTAATGCTTAAGTTAGAAGCATCCTTAACATAAAGTTGTTTACCTGATATTCTAAATGATTCTCAGGTGACCATTTGACAAATACATGGTCTCGGTTTGGTGCATTCCTTTTTTAGCTGGTTGCATTTGAGAAAAAAACGTGATCTTCAATATATGTTCTAATATCCAACCGCTATATCTCATGCTTATATATGTGATGATAGATATTATCATCTTTCACATGTTGGTTCTTTCTCGATGTTCATTAAAGTCTGGACTAGTCCTCAGTCCAAATGGTATTAGCCTAATAATGTTGAAATTACCAGGGCAATGACAAGTACTTGCTAAGGCCGCCAAGAAGATGCACAAGAAGGTGGAAAGGTTTCCCAGGCATAGGAGGTAAGATTTTTGAAAAGAGACAGAGTCGCATGTTCATTTAGGTTATTTAACTACCATGATATATCGATTAGAAAAAAAAAAAAAATTTGTGACCATTTTAATTCTTGGTTAAAATTGATTGGCTGTGATTTGTGAATGAAATAGATAGTTTATGTATTGAACATTTAATAACTATTAAAAATTGGTTACATTGTGTTTCTAGGAACCAAAATGGTCACATTTGGAACACATGATTACCATAAATTTTGGTTGTGTTTAAGGATCCGTAACCAATATTTGTGGTTACTTTAAAATTATGAATTTATTGTAGTCTGATATTCATGATAAAATTTATTGGTTTCAAAATTTTGATTTTATGACATTATCAATTGGTTGGTAAAAGGCAAATAAAATAGTTGCTTTTTGGTATTTGTGACCAATAACATACTATACCGTGACTATTTAGCATATTTTATATGTCCACTTATCTTGGTCTAAAATTTTTTATTGTGTGATCGCCAAATCATCTTCTATTTTGAGTTTTGTTCTTAACGCGGCTAATATAACCAAAGGTGCAACCAAAAGATTTTGGTAAGGAAATAGTATTCTGAACCAAAATTTGATAATCTATGACCAATGTCGGCAGTCACAAAAAGCTATTAATTAATGTTGAAGTGCATATTTACATACCACAGCATGAGGCTATAGTTGATGAAGTTCGAGATGTGTATAAGAAACCGCACGTAAGCTGTGGTAAAAAAAAAAAAAAATTGATTAGTGTGCAATACACATTTAATCAATGTAGTTCAGTCTTAACTACTTACAAAGTGTCATAAATTATCCCCAGGGCCGTGAGTGCCACTCCCATATAGTACGTGGCGAAGAGGGCATTGACAATTGCATCGTGATAATTAACCTGCTTCCTGTAATTAGCGAGCCAGAAAATTTTCTCTTAAGCACATAATAATTCATTAAAGCGTGAAGTTAGGGGAAAATAGAAGCACACTCTAATTAAATTGCTGAGCTAAGTATACTGTAAAGAGCTCCCTTTACTACCCTAATACTGTACAAGCTGACATACTTGGCAATAAATAAAGAGCTATATCCTTGTATTTTTATCAAACATATTCCTCTACTTTCAATCAAATCAATCCTACCCTTGTACTATTAAATACAGCTCAAACCTGCCCTCTTCTGTTTGTTTTTCCATCCCAGAACCGTCAAATCCGGTTCAACCAAACTCCGATCATTTTTGGTGTCATGGAAATGAGCGCTAAAAGACTTGGTTACCCCTTTAGTTCTAACTCATCGTCCCCCAATTCTCCATCTTTCAAATAATCCCCATTTTTTCGAGAACCTCTATCACTACAAAAGTATTTTTCTATTCAATTTGTCTTATTCTCCAGGTGAAACCATTAAAGCATTGTTTTGCTGCTGGTGGATGCTCTTAATTAATTACCTTGTATTTTTAGAAGTGGGTGTTCGAAATATATATATATATATTAATTGGAGGATTTTCTGGCGACGAAGAGTTATAATTAACTAAGGATTAATTAACAAAGTCTTTTAGCTCTCATTTCCATGACATCATAATGACACGAAATTTGGTTGAACCGGATGTGATGGTTATGGGACGGAGTGTGGAAGGATATCATAGGATTGATGTGATTCAAAATAGAGAGACATAATATACATATAACTTATAAATAAATTAGTATAGGGGCAAGTACTTAATTACCCCAAAACTAAACATAAGACATAAAACGTAACTTATTGTAAAACTTGCAGATGGATGTCGTCATTGCAAGTTCAGAAGAGTATATACATATCAACGGATTCTAAAATGTCAATAAGGACGAAGAAGCTAGCCTCACGGGAAGAAAAAAAATTAATCGATAGATGGTGAACCTGGGTTGAGAAAACGTACGGGTCGGCGAGAAGGGTCGTCAAAGGGGTTTGTCTGGCCGGTCAGTATTATCGCCGCCGCAGGTATACCACTTTCCTTGTTGTCTGCCGTCGCCGTTTGTTCGCCGGCCGGCAACTCTTCTTCTTCTTCTTTCCTCTCTGGGCTCTGGCTACTTGATTTGTTTTTCGCTCCTTTTCGTTTCTCTGCTTCTGGTAGGAGGAGAGATGTGAAGGTGAAGAGAGGGAAATGCAGTTTGTTTGAAGATGGTAGCTGTGGCGTGGTGGAACGAGAAACTATGAGTGTAGTATTGCAGACTTGCAGGTGGTGGTAATGATGATACACTAGAATAGAGTCGCTAGCCTTGTCATATTGGGTTTGTTTGTATGAATGGAAATGGTCATAGCCTCATAGCAGAGACAGAGACAGAGAGAGTGAGAGAGCGAGAGAGTATAATTACGAGCTTGGAGGAGGGCGTCTTGTTTCCAAGTTTGGACGTGTAAACCTTAATTGCATGCATGCCATTTTGGGAGCCAGCTAGCTGGACATTTATATATTATACATAATTTAATAATAAAATGGCTTGGATAGTCATCATTTCAGATTATTATTATTATTATTATTATTTTTTTTGCAAAAAAGTAATGGCCCGGGAAAGAACTAAGAAGATTGTCAAATGCCAATGCAAGCTAAGTTCAAATTTTCATGACTTAACCATCTGTTGTCCAATTTGGTTAGTGGTTAGTTTGATGATGAACCATTAACCTCCGCTTGTGTACTTTTGAACTACTATTAAACCATATTTTGTGAACGATTGGAACATAGGCTAAATGGATGCTCTATTGGGCTATTTTCAGTTTTTGCTTGGATGATTTGTTGTTCGGCCATAGTTGTCATGTCGGTGGCATATTGGCTAGTTGAATCTGGTTAAATTGGAGTCGGTCAGGAGACCGGCGTGAACAACACTGGTATGACGGGCATGATAGATTTACGACCTCTAAGTAAAGGGACGTCGTTTTAGTCACTACGGGAAAAGAGAGTTTTGCCAACACTATGTTTGCAACACTATATTCAAGGTGTTGCTGAAAATTAACAATGACAACACTTTGTTTAAATGTTACTTCAAAAATATATTTTATGCAACATAAATAGATAATCACTTGAATTATGTCGCATTTGCTTGAGCATACACGACATTTATATTCCATATTATATCGTGTTGCCTATTTATGCATTTTAGGCAACATTGTAACAAATAATGTTAGAAAAAGCTAACATTTGATAATTAAATGACAGATCACATGACCGAGGGGAACGACTACGGTGCTAATTGTACAATAGTTAGCACCGTCCTAACCAAGGGAAAAACTACTACTAGTTTGAATTAGTAGTGATTTAGCTTAGATGTTGTATTGATTTCATAATAATCCGTAGTGATTTTTGCTAGTTATCACGGTGCTAACCCCTATAAGGGTTAGCACCTAATCCCATCCCCATGACCGAGACAAGATATGGCGGCGCTAACACCATTTTGTATTAGCACCCTACTAACACTTTTAATAAGGGTATTATATAGTACTAGCTTATTACCCGGCCCGTTGGCCGGATTACTGTATGTTTCCCACTTGTGGAATGGGAGAGAAAGCAAGTGAGAGTGAAGGGATTACTGTATGTTTCCTCCAATCATCTTTAGTGCAATTTAGAAGCAAGTCCTCATGTTTGTGTCAAACGGTAACATTCATGGGTTCTTAACTCCCCTGTTAGTGTAAATGTAGCAGCAACAAAGAAGTTTGACAACACAACAAGCACCCAGGCAAAATGATACAATGCAATAGGTGATATGTGTCTCGAAGGTTTTGAGTTACTAAAGTTCATGTTAAAAATAAACATGAATTAAAATGGATTATTCTATTAAGAAAACATCCCCTCTAATCATACAAAGATCAGATATCCAATTCACAAACAATTAAGCCATAAAAAATCATCACACATCCACCACCTTTGATTGCCTAAATTTGGTTTTTCGCAAAGTTATGGACTCTTAAGTAAACGTTCATGGGTAGTCTATTTCATAACTCTAGAGAGCACAGTAAGCAGCCACCAGCCAGACACAGTGCGGTAGGCGAATATGATTCTCAATTCACAATTTCTCACCACCGGAAGTAAGAATAGACCATAATAAGCGTAGCGTTCATGGATGGTCTGTTTCATAGCACTACTACACAATTTGTTAAAAAGGAAAGAAAGTTATTTAGCATCACGACGGAAAAACTTTTACAGGCCAACAACGACAACATGCTGCAACCACCAGAACTGGTATCACAACTCATAGGGAAAATCAAAAGATTTACTCTCAAATTAAGTAGTTACAACATCGAGAAATCGTCAAGCACATACACCATCACAAAAGTCATGGAACCTGATTCGCAAAGCATTCAAACATTTGAGGACATTTCTGCAAAGGTACAACTTATATGTCTTTTTTCCAAGCCATTTCCATCAACATGCTAATAAATTTGCAATGCATAAAACAAACGGGCAAAAATCCTAATTATTCTTTAATTTTAAACTTTCTATTTGAAAATAAAAAATAGTGAAAGAAAAGAGATGACTGCAATTCGCCATTTGCACATCACTTATTCGGGAATAAAACCATAGAAATTCAAAAGGAACTGAAAATGTTTAGGATCGTTTTAATGTTTAAAATAACCAAATAGATCTTTCAGTTTAGTTTTTTACTAACAAATATCAAACGATTCCCTATAAAATACACTATAATTTGATCATTATGATATCAAATAATTATATAATATATATTTGAAATGATAAAAATTGGACTAATTGGGTTGGTCGAGGTTGAACCATTGAATAACTTTAAAATACATTATATTTTAGCCACTAAGATATAAAATAATAGCATAATATATATTATGCCAGAGAAAATAGCTTGTTTTAGAATGACAAACCAATTATGTTCATTTGTTTTACTTGATGGCCAAATCCCGTGTAGGTCAGACCCATTCAACTCTTTTATTTTATGGTTAGCGGTTAGCCATTAGATACCATTCATTAGTTTATTGTTAAATTTTTTATTTTTAACAATAAAAGGAGTATTATTTTTGCCTTTTCATATATAATTTATCACCACGGAGAAATAAAAGGGATTAAAGAAAAAAATTGACACTCTTTGACCCGTTTAAATCCGCATGTGTACGGTAAGTTGGCCCGCTCCATAGAGGAAAGAGAAAAAAATTGACACTCCCTATTCTACCCTTCCTACAAACGCTCCTGGAGCAGGGAATTTGAAATGGGGGAAGAGTTTTTTCCTCTCTGCTATTATATGTTTTTAATTTAGAAAGATACAACAAATCTACTTAGTGTGATTGGTTATGATCCTTGCTTTTCTATAAAATGGTCATGGTTCGAATCCTAGTACATGTCTTTTTAATGAATAAAAAAAAGTTATTGTGAAGACCAAAATGTCCTTCCTACTTTCACTCTCGTTGCAGGAAATTTGAAATGGGGAAGCTGTTTTCCCCTTCGGTGTATTATAAGTATAAGTTGAAATAGCTTGTTTTAGAATGACAAACCAATTATGTTCATTTGTTTTACTTGATGGCCAAATCCCGTGTAGGTCAGACCCATTCAACTCTTTTATTTTATGGTTAGCGGTTAGCCATTAGATACCATTCATTAGTTTATTGTTAAATTTTTTATTTTTAACAATAAAAGGAGTATTATTTTTGCCTTTTCATATATAATTTATCACCACGGAGAAATAAAAGGGATTAAAGAAAAAAATTGACACTCTTTGACCCGTTTAAATCCGCATGTGTACGGTAAGTTGGCCCGCTCCACAGAGGAAAGAGAAAAAAATTGACACTCCCTATTCTACCCTTCCTACAAACGCTCCTGGAGCAGGGAATTTGAAATGGGGGAAGAGTTTTTTCCTCTCTGCTATTATATGTTTTTAATTTAGAAAGATACAACAAATCTACTTAGTGTGATTGGTTATGATCCTTGCTTTTCTATAAAATGGTCATGGTTCGAATCCTAGTACATGTCTTTTTAATGAATAAAAAAAAGTTATTGTGAAGACCAAAATGTCCTTCCTACTTTCACTCTCGTTGCAGGAAATTTGAAATAGGGAAGCTGTTTTCCCCTTCGGTGTATTATAAGTATAAGTTGATTGATTGATTGACTACAATACTCCCTCCTTCCATTTAATGCACAAGATGCGTTGATCTCCTCCCCTTCTCAATTTTTCTAAAGACTAGCTTGCCTTCCTGCCCTTTCTCTTCATTAATTTTGTACTCAATTAAATGAAAAAGTTATTGAAACGAAATGTTCATATTGACTAGAGGAAGTCTTAGCTAAAAAAAAAAAAAGTACTAACGTTCTAGCAAGTCCATACTCATTTTCCTAACAGTTTAATATCAGCCATTTCTTTTTCTTTCCACAAAATTAATATATTATTTATACTATTTTTCAGAGCAAATATTTGAAAATAAAATATCTTTTAGGTTATTGTATTCATAATATCATTACACAAGCAATTAATAAAACTAACCATTTAAGCTTAGTATAAGAAAAAATATATTTATTAATTTTTAATTAATAATTAAAATGACATTAACCTTCTAAAAAACAAAATATTTTGACTCGTACAATTCCCTGATGAATTTAGGAACACGTTACATTTTTTTAAAAAATGTAGGCTTCCTTCTCTATAAAATACTTAAGAGTCATAAGTCATGCTCTTTCATTTTATATGAACAAAATCCACTTTTTGCCACTATAAAAAAAATCTTATCTTGATATTCATAGAAAGTTACTTTAATTACCACCCTTCCACATACAAATTCAAATCTTCTACGGTTAAAAATTACTTTAATTATTACTTTAATAATAACTTGTATATGTGAATTAATTCATAAGTTTACTTATTACTTATTAGAATTTAGAAGGTGTTGTACTTCTTTACCCAAAATATTTTAAACTTAATAGCATGGTCGATGAAACCGTACCGGAGACCGTACCAGAAAAGTCAGCGATAGGGTATTTTATGGCAAAACTGTGGTTTAACCGTAGTTCAACCGTTAGTACCGTTAAATACCGCCTATCGGTTTAGCCTCCGATACTGGTATTTTGTGGTTGAACCGTCGGTACCGTACGGTTTAATGGACGCTGGTGTTTGTGCAAGACCGAAAAGAATCATTACCAACGACGAAATTTTGGGTTCATACGGCGACGATCTCTGGTGTGAGTGGCTCTGACTAACAGGGCTAGGTGAAAAGGTAAGCTAGCGATTCCATAGCGTAGAGGCAACGTACACGATGAACCTCTCACAATCATCTTCCTCCATCTCTCCTTTTTTCTGATAACTTGTTGTTCATTATATTAATCCATGATATATGCATGGTAGCAATCATGTGCCATCTCTCATTGAATGGGAACTAGAAGACAACCGCACTTTGTAGCGCGGCTAGAGTCCCATATGGGAAAAAGAATAGCCCGTAGCTCGTAAGGATTAATATATCGTACTAGAGGTTGTACTGAAAAGTCAGCAGTAGGGCATTTTATATTAAAACTGTTGTTTAATGGTGGTTCAACCTCTTCATACTGCTAAATACCGTCTACAGATTTAGCCTCCGGTAAGAGGTTTTCTGGTTCAACTGGCGATACGATATGGTATTTCAATCCTTGGGAATTAGTATAAAATTAAAGAGCTATAGATACAGAGCCGATAGGGTACAAAACTTCAGCTTGTAAAACCCTACAAAACCGGGTTGTATCATCGTATCACGATTCACGACATGGTACTACAATGATACGCCGTTGATAATCGTATCACCAAATCGTGATACGATGATACGACAGAGTTTTGCAGACAGAGTTTTTACCGGAACCAAAGCCTTGTACATAAATTCACGATAATATATGACAATTAGTCAATAACAATATTGTTTCCTTTTCCTCCCTACTACATATACATTTTGCTTTATCTCGTAATATTCTCCAAGCCATAGATTCTTTATCAGCCTCTCTGTCTCTTTATCAAGATTGTCAACCTGTGTGTTGACCACGAGTTGACCCGACTCGTTGAGGAAAGTGGGCACCATACACCCACCGGGTCGACCCGCATCAATGTTTCTGGGTTGGAGGTCACACGACATCATTTTTCTCTTTGGTTTTTGAATCGCGCCACTTCTCCAATTTTTCTCTTCACCTAACCCTACTTTTCAAATTTTAAATTTTAAATTTTAAATTTAACATTTGAATTTTAATATTAGTATTATATGTGAGACACAATAACAAAAGCTTATCAACCCAAACAATAAGAGAAACTTATCGGATTTAACAGGAAAAAAGAGAAACTTATCAACCCAAACAAATTGAATTAGTGAAATGACCATAACAAAACAACTCGTGTGTTGACCCGCGAGTTGACCAGATTCGGTGAGGAAAGCAGGCGCCACACATCTACTGGGTCGACTCGCATCAAAGTTCCTGGGTTGGAGGTTACACGACATTATTTTTTCTTTGGTTTTTGAAATGTGCCACTTTTCCAAATTTTCTCTTCACCTAACCCTACTTTAAAATTTTAAATTGAACATTTGAATTTGAATATTAGTATTATATGTGAGATCCAATAAGAAAAGCTTATCAACCCAAGCAATAAGAGAAACTTATCAAATTCAAGGGGAAAAAAGAGAAGCTTATCAACCCGAACAAATTGAATTAGTGAAATGACCATATTATCAACCCAAACAAATTCAATTAGTGAAATGACCATAATAAAATAATATTTTCCTTAGTGAACAGTAATGAGGATTGAGCTTTATATATAGTAACTAGAATTGTTGCCGTGCTTTGCTGCGGCTAGGAGTCTAAACTTCAGCCCGACGACTCCGCTTATAGGTAGTTGGATTGAAAAATAATTATCTTGTGGTTTATTTGCCGTTGATTTTGTCTTTTTTCTAATACTTAATTTTGTATGAAATCTGTTAAAATATAATTAAAAATATTTACTTCCATAAACTAAATGTGTATGAGTTAGGTATGGATACCCATTTATTCGAGAGTGTTTTAAATATACATACAAAAATTAGACCTATTTGTAGAGCTTCAAAAGTTTAGGTACCAAAATGTAATACACAAAACATTAGGTACTAAAATATAATATTTCATCAATATTTGAGGACTTATATGCCAAATAAATAAATTTAGGTTATAAATCTAAAGATCTATTGAGTTTTGGTACAAAACTATAATTTGCATAGTTGAGGCTTAATTCCTTTTATGGTGATGTATTTAAGATGATAATTATTTACTTTTCTATAGAAAAATGGAAACTATTTATTTGATATGTGTAGATACTTAACCAAGCATTCCATGTATAATTGTTGAAAATTATAGCCCGGGTGAAAAAGAAAAACTCTAGAGCGAAGCAAAAGGAATACAAACTGGAACTCGCTTAAAATTTCACGCCTTCAAATCTCATAGTAGAAAATGATGACTTTCTAATAAGTAATAACCAAATATATTGATGTTTAATTGGACTCAACATTGAGTTGAAAAAGTTAGTGGTTCATGGTTCAATTATTAGTCCTCTAGACTGTTGGTGAGTCGTGTATGGACCTGTTCATACTTGCGATTAAAATACATAAAAAGTAGTATACTAAACAGGGTTAAATGAAGACGACAAAGAAAGAAATAAAGAAAGGGTTATGGAAGGCAAGTGAAAAATGAAACGAAGAGAAAGTAAATGATGGAAATGTTTTGACCAATTCTTTTGGTTGGTCGTTAATACAACAGTTAACCATTTTCACCGTAGCAATTTATTGACACTTGCATATGTAGATATAACATATTTTGTTATATGTAGTTAGTAGAAGTTTGTTTAGTACCCCGTAAATGTACTAAATGAGTTTACAAATTCGCTCTTGCAATATTTTAGAGTTGTCTCTCTTTTATCATTTATTCAATGTTTCACGGAATGAGCAAATATAAAATAGTCGAATCTTCTCGTAAAATGTAGATACCTTGGTATAATTGTTCAATGATTTTACATTAAAATTAAATTTGGGGTATCAAAATGTAAAATGTATAAAGTGACTAAAGTAGCAATTTTTTACGCAACAATAACTCTACTTCAAATTTATATATAGTAAACTTTTAAAATTGTAGTTACGGAAATCTCATAAAATTTAGATACCAAAAAATAATTAGATCTCCCCAACACACTGAATGATGAACTTTGCGCCTTCAGCAGAGTCAAGCCAAGCCGGAGTGTTATTCCTTGAAATAACTCAAATTTCAAATCATTCACTTGCTTTAACTACTTATGCTATGGACGTGGGAGCATCAACTCCGTTCCTGTGGGCTTTTGAAGAGCAGGAGAAATTATTGGAATTCTATGAAATGATTTTACAATAAAATTAAAGTTGAGGTATCAAAATGTAAAATGTATAAAGTGACTAAAATAGGAAATTTTTACGCAACAGTAACCCTACTTCAAATTTATATATAGTAATAATTTCTTATACTTAATTTTGTCAATGGGCAGGTACATATATTTGTTTTCACGACGTCAAATACTCCTTAACACACCATTGTTCTTGTAGATTCAATATAAGTGATGATGCTAATCTTTCTTGTTTTTCATTATTTTTGATCGGCTAATTATTTATGATATTCTTTGCTTTGGTGCCATGCTAGATGCAATCAAATCCAAGCCTCAATGAAAGTAGCAGTTACACGATGGAAGAGGTGATCAAGCAAAGGCTTTTTCAGGATTGATGAATGTTATTATATAGGGGTTCTTATTTATTTTAAGATTCATTGTAAAATGTAATTTTCAGATGTAATCGTGATAACTTATCTCGTCGTTGATGTACTTTTCTATGGGAACAATTTTTGTAACTAAAAGACTTACACATGACAATTTTGTTGTCACAAATAATATGTATTTGTAATCATTCAAATCCTCACTATTGTTGTCCATGATGATATTTGAATAAAACAACTTGTGTGACATATTAGTTTTCGGACCATCACAAATATTATCATACATGACAAAAATATGTCACAAAAATATTCTTTCATGAGAAAAAAATACTATAATAAAATCATTTGTGATATACTTTTGTCACAAAAACCTGAATTTGTGACAATAGTACCATCACAAAACCTCATTATGCCACATAAGTTTAAATGCTAAATGTTGATGTTATTGATATTAAATGTTTAGATATTAATGTAAATTTCGTATTTAAATATGAGTATTTGTTATTCTATTTGGAAGATTATTTTTTATTTAAATATGAATTGTAAGTAAGTAAATTGTACGTCTTCGAATATGGTTTATATAATTAAATTCATTTGATGTTGATGATTTTTCACATTTCTACATATTTTTTTTTAAACTCGCATGAACCGGCTGAATGTATCACTAGTCGAGCTATTCCAATTACTAAACAGGTACGATGGTTCGACCCTCGCAACTTTACATTTTTTTTTAATCTTGTGCTAATAATATCTGCTCTTTCTTCCGTGGCTATTTTGTTTAATATATATATATATGGTGTATTCGGTGCACTCACTTTTTTGGGTGCATTCATAATTATTATTCTAAGCAAATGATTCATGTAAAAACGATGGTAATCGTCACGTATGATATGATGGACAAGAAAATACATGAATTTGTACAAAAATCATTCAAGATTTACTTTAATTTCAATGATTTAGGGTTTAGGGATTTAGGGTTAGGGTTTAGGTTTACAATTTGGGGTTTTAGGTTGGGATTCAAAATTGAAGGTCAAGAGATTAGGAAAATGGATTGATTAGTTATAATCTATGTTATATTATCGTATTGCACTAATTCTACCAATTAGAGTTCAAATTTTGATGTACTATGACCATTTTTAAAATTGAGTGAAGTGAATGCACTCACTGCACTCAAAAAAATGAGTGCTACCTATATATATACTCTTTAACACTTAAATACATCCACAACGCAACACTTAGTGAAAAATCAATTTTAATACTTAATTTAAATTTCTTATCGTTAGCTCAATTACATTTTGATATCATAAAAAAGGTGCAATCTTTAATCCATAAATTATATGTCTATGAATTTGTGGTATATTTATATCATCAAGAAAAGGATTGTACTTTTGGCAGCACACCCTGGTAAATGAGTTGATTTACCTATCACCACAAGCAACTTAAATGCTATCCGTATCCCTGAAGCAACTACAATATTGAGAAACAAAAAGAACAATTCTGATCCAGCTACGCCATCACTTCCAAACTATGACTTCAACCTCACTTTTGATCTTGACAAGAGCTTCAAAATTCTTCTTTTACTTGGACAAACTTGATGGACCACCTCTGAAAACGACCCGATCCCTTTTGAAACAAACCATAACTCAAACCACAAACCAGTTACTCCGGAGCAATCCAAAACAAGTTTACAAGTCAAAACCAAAAATCAACAACAACAATGTTTAAGATTCTCAAGTAAAATGCCCTGAACACTTGGGCGACCTCAATCCAGAGCAACAAAACATAAAACATAATCCTTAAATTTCCCAGTATACTCATTAAAACATGAAACTAAAGACAGATATAATGGGAGGTCACATCTCGTTACCCAGATCCAGTTGACATCTTCAGATTTGTCGCGATTGCTCTCCTCGGGTAACCTCCTCTTGATGGATGCGTCCTCTTCCCCTCTATGCACCTGGTGAGTGAGAAGGGGTCAGTCTCGTCGTTACTTCCTAAGGTCTTCGCTCTAAGAAACTCCTTACTATTCGGGTTCTTGACATAGACAAAAGTCGTTCTTGCTTTCATCTTTTATACTTTGTTATCAAATAGTCTATAAGAGATCTCGCTTATCTTTAGAATTTCCTTACTTATATTCTTAATCCATAGACACCAGCACTAGGGACCACCGTGTTAAGTCTCGCCGTCCGGTGTCCCTACCATAGTATGCCAACCCCGTTACGTCTCGCCGTCCGGTTGCATACCCAAACTCGGCAATGGCATTGCGTTACGTCTCGTCGTCCAGTCCATGCCCGATCTACTACTGCGTTACGTCTCGCTCCCCAGTAGTGACCCAACCGCCCGGGGGCTCGTCTTACCATTAATCAACTATTACCATCTCAAATCCATACATTCATACATAGCACAACGCGTGCCTCCACCCTTATAGGCGGTGGGATGCCTCACACACATAATCGCGCATAACTAAAAAATTAACGAAACTAGTATAAGTAAATGCATAAACTAAAAGACCTCGACGGAGCTTTTACCCCCTTTACACTCACCTCGAAAAGATGACTCCTCGATTCCTTCCTCGAAGAAACCCCTCCTTAGCCAGATTATCTTGGGAAAACCTATTAATAAGAATTCATTTTCTTAGACGACTTTTCTCGATTAAAACCCCTTTTGAATCACTAGAACATCCTCTCCTCAAAATTCATCCCTCGGACCTCACTCCAAAGGTCCTTAATCCCCTTTTAAAAATTTCTAGAAATAATCCCTTCAAAACCGACCACTTTTCCTAATTATTCTTGTCTTGGACGAATTTTTCACCTGACTTGAACCTTCTTAAAAATTTGGATAATCATTTTTCTATGTCAATCATGAGCACCTATACCCAGTAAAATTATCAATTCCTTAAAATCCCCTCGGTAAGATTTTTGTTTAATTAAATTACATTCATATCCTAGACCTCCCTTAATTTATAAAATTATTAAACCTAGGAACAAACACCCACAGAGACTCAAACCAATTTAAAGTATCCAAAATAAGTTTCTGAAAATTCCCAGCAGCTTTTGTGGCCACCCAAAATCTGTTACTAAAAGCCTGTAACTTCTGTTGCTAAAAACCCATAATTGCACCCTGACGAAAAATCACCAAATCGATCGATCTAACTCAAAGGGATTTAGTTCTCTTAACTCTAGAACGTGCCTAGGACCAGATTGGATGGCCTGGGACGTTGATCACCTCGTTGATCAAACCCTCAAAATTCACCGCTAATAAAATACGAGCTTTGTATTAGACTATCGATGAATCGAGTTTAGAAATCACGAATGAGTTCGTGATCCTTACCTAGAAACATGAAGGGATGGGGTCGGGGTCAGGAACAGGGCCGCGCTCCCTCTTTTCTTTCTTCCTCTCGCTCGGCTGGCGAACAAAAAGAATTGGAGCGGCAGGGACAAATAAATTGGGGAGGGTTTGCTGTTGGGGGAGCGCCTCCTCCCTTTTGATATACACATGTATTTTTTTTTTTTTTGCAAATTAATAATAATATTATTATTATTATCAATACTAATTCGCGTTTGTAACCCTTCATACGTAACCGTCAATTCAACTGTTCACGTATTAAAGTAAGGTCTAAACCCAAAGGTCGGAGTGTCACATTTCCTCCGCCCTTATAAAAAATTTTTCCCTGAAATTTGGAATTGGAAAGATAATGACTTGGTCTTAAACTTTTGGTGTTTGACTAAAACTTCTCAAGTTAGAATATAACATTTCCCTCCCCCTTAATAAAATTTCGACCTCGAAATTTTGGTCCGAACTAATTTAATTGGTTTGGTACCGAGTACTAAAACTGAAAGTGCGTCTTTCGAAGAAAACAACCAACTAGCGGTCTATGTTTAAAACGAATACTCCTTCTCCACAGTCTCCCCATTTCTTCACATGATCACATCAATGTGTTTGCTCGTCCCCTCCACCGTCACCACGGTCTCCCTCTATCCCTCGCATGGCAAATACCCTCGGCTGCCCTCCTGCTGGAGGCCCCTGGTCTCTGTCCGAATCAGTGCGGTCGAACCGCCCGGTGCGTCCTCCCTGGCTCTGGAAGGAGCGGTTTGGCTGGCTGTCAAATCGTGGTCCTACGTGAGTCCTCGCTCCACCATCCCGGATAGAATGCTCGGACTGAGCCATCCCTTGTACGCCTCTCCAGGGACATTCTCTGGCAAAATGCCCAGGCTCGTTACAGTTATAGCAGACCATTGGGGCTGCCTACACTCCCCTGAGTGATCCCGCTCACACTGGTTGCAAAGACCTCTGTTGCTGAAAGTTTGACCAGGATGGACCGAGTCGGTCTGACTCCTAGTTCCCCCAAAGCTAACGGTACTGCTCGGCCTCCTTCTGTACTGACTGGGCTGGCCGGACCACTCTGGCATGCAACTTGCCTTTCTCTTGCTTCCCTTTCGTAGTATCCCTTCTTCATGCGCAGCTGTGTCAGCCCTGTCTATCCGAAGAGCCGTATGATAAATCTCCTCCCGACTGTTCCACGCCAGCATGCTCAACTGCTTCTTAAGGGAAGGCTTCGGACTCTCCAAATAGTGGGCACGTTGAGATGCCGCATCCTGGAACTGGGGTCCCCCGTAGGGCAGCAGCTTCTCGAACCTGGAGGTGTACTCTGCAACACCCTTCTCTCCTTCATTGCCCCATCCCTGCTTGACCGGCAAAAATTTCCTCTTTTTGCCCAGTCGATAGGCATCTTGTACATAGTAATCCCGGAACACCCGCACCAACTCTAGCCAAGTCATAGCTGGTGGGTCTTCCTGGCTAGCTGGCTGGGTGCACCACCAATTGTATGCTGAATCCTGGAGCAGGGATACTGTTAGTAGCACCATGTCCTCATCATCTGCCCTCATTTTAGTCAATGTCCGCGAGACCATCGCCAGCCATTTCTCTACTTCACTAGCATCCTTCGGGTGGTCCCCATCAAAATCAACCACTCCTCGCCTCCGGAAAGCCTCATAATCGGGGGTTGCCTAGCTGCCGCGTGGTTAACATTGGTGTTACTTTCTCTGCAAGTAAGAAGTACCCTTATTAGAACCACATTTATTTGTCTTATCATTCTTGAGTATACTGGGGACTCTATAAACCTTTTCAAATCGGTTGGCCAACCATTTTTCTTGAAAGTTCCCTTTTTTTCCTTTAAAGCAAACCTTTGAAAACCCAGATCGTCACTCCAGTATTCCTTGGAGACCAAGAAACAGAGGAAAACTAGACTCTGATACCAAAATGAAACAACCCGATCCTTTTTGAAAATCAAACCATAACTCAAACCACAAACCGGTTACTCCGGAGCAACCCAAAACAAGTTTACAAGTCAAAACCAAAAATCAACAACAATAATGTTTAAGATTCTCAAGTAAAATGCCCTAAACACTTGGGCGACCTCAATCCAGAGCAACAAAACATAAAACATAATCCTTAAGTTTTCCAGTATACTCATTAAAACATGAAACTAAAGACAGATATAATGGGAGGTCCCATCTCGTTACCCAGATCCAGTTGACATCTTCAGGTTTGTCGCGATTGCTCTCCTCGGGTAACCTCCTCTTGATGGATGCGTCCTCTTCCCCTCTCTGCACCTGGTGAGTGAGAAGTGGTCAATCTCGTCGTTACTTCCTCAGGTCTTCGCCCTAAGAAACTCCTTACTAAACACATTATTCGGGTTCTTGACTTAGACAAAAGTCGTTCTTGCTTTCATCCTTTATACTTTGTTATCAAACAGTCTATAAGAGATCTCTCTTATCTTTAGAATTTCCTTATATACTTAATCCATAGACACCAGCACTAGGGACCACCACGTTACGTCTCTCCGTCCGGTGTCCCTACCATAATATGCCAACCGCGTTATGTCTCGTCGTCCGGTTGCATACCCAAACTCGACAATGGCACTGCGTTACGTCTCGCTGTCCAGTCCATGCCCGATCTACTACTGCGTTACGTCTTGCCGTCTAGTAGTGACCCAACCGCCCGGGGGTTGTATTATCATTAATCAACTATTACCATCTCAAATCCATACATTCATACATAGCACAACGCGTGCCTCCACCCTTATAGGCGGTGGGATGCCTCACACACATAATCGCGCATAACTCAAAAATTAACAAACTACTATAAGTAAATGCATAAAATAAAAGACCTCGACGGAGATTTTACCCCCTTTACACTCACCTCGAAAAGATGACTCCTCGATTCCTTTCTGGAAGAAACCCCTCCTTAGACGGATTATCTTGGGGAAACCTATTAATAAAAAATCATTTTCTTCGACGACTTTTCTTGATTTTAAACCCCTTTTGAATCACTAGAACATCCTCTCCTCAAATTTCAGCCCTCGCTCCAAGGTCCCTTAATCCCCTTTTAAAAAATTTCTAGATATAATCCCTTCAAAACCGACCACTTTTCCTAATTATTCTTGTCTCGGACAATTTTTTTTTACCTAACTTGAACATTCTTAAAAATTTGGATAATCATTTTCATATATGTCAATCATGAGCACCTATACCCTGTAAAATTATCAAACCCTTAAAATCCCCTCGGTAAGATTTTTGTTTAATTAAAATCAACATTCAAACAATTTCTAAAAATAGATATACATCTTCAAAATTCCCCAAACTAAATTAAAGCCATCTCCTTGACCTCCCTCAATTTATAAAATTGTTAAACCTAGGAACAAACACCCACAGAGGCTCAAAACAATTTAAAACATCCAAAATAAGTTTCTGCAATTTCCCAGCAGCTTTAGTGACCACCCAAAATTTGTCACTAAAATCCTGTAACGTTTGTTGCTAAAAACCCAGAATTGCACCCTCACGAAAAATCACCAAATCGATCGATCTAACTCAAAGGGATCAAGTTCCCTTATCTCTAGAACATGCCTAGGACTAGATTAGATGGTCCGAAACGTTGATCTCCTCGTTGATCGAACCCTTAAACGTCACCGCTTATAAAATACGATCTTCGTATTAGACTATCGATGAATCGAGTTTAGAAATCACGAATGAGTTCGTGATCCTTACCTAGTAACACGAAGAGATGCTTTTCTTTCTACCTCTCGCTCGGCTAGCTCTTTTCTTTCTTCCTCTCGCTCGGCTGGCGAACAAAAAGAATTGGAGCGGCGGGGACAATTAAATTGGGAGGGTTTGCTGCTGGGGGAGCGCCTCCTCCCTTTTGATATATACATACATGTAAATTTTTTTGCAAATTAATAATTATACAATAATAATATTATTATTATTATCACTACTAATTCGCGGCTGTAAGCCTGTAACCCTTCATACGTAATCGTCAATTCAACCATTCACGTATTAAGTTCGGATCTAAACCCAAAAGTGGGAGTGTTACAACCTCTATCTCCAAATGAATCTCAACAGAGAGCACTACCACATAAGCCTTTCTGTTTTAGAAACTAGCTAGAGACTTCCCCTTGAAATAAGCAATTGTCCACTGCAACTCAAATTTCAGCTGGTCACTTGGAATTTGGGTAGAATAGACAGGGAACAAGCATGCAAAAAGATTCTTATATGTTGAGGATAAAAAAAAAAAAAGAATCGTATTTCGATATCCTGATCACAGAACACACAAGCAGTAGATCCGATAAACAAACCGATACAAGATATACAAACCAATAGTATATTATATACTAACTAGAAGAGCATATTACAGAAATCATATTAGCAAAATGTACAAATCATATCTCAATAGGTTTGCAAGTAAATCAAAACTATACAAAAGTAAACCACAATATATAGAAATTAAAAGTATATTGGATATAAGCTACATCCCAAACTATACAAATCATATCACAATTAGACATGGTACATTAAGAATGTAAACAAACACGATGTAACTGATTGTACTCTTATGTTTAGAAAATATATTTTGAGATTGTATTTGTAATCATGCTTGAAATAATCAAATATATAATATTTTTTTATTTAATAAGCAACCCACATGCCCGACGTTTTGCTACCGTCATCGGGGAGACTTTGTCTCCTGTACCAAGAGTGCTTCCGAGAACACCAAGAAGACGGTACTTGGATTTGAACCTGGGACCTTGTCACATCCCAAACACGAAACCCAACCCTTTACCAACTAGGTTGTCTTACCATCGACATCAAATATCAAATATATAATATTACTGTGACTTGAATCCATATTCTTTCAAGTGAGAGATAAGATTCCTAACCAACTCATATATAATTTTAAAAAAGAAGCTAAGGTATTTACTAATCAACCCCAGAAATTCCATAAACAAAATTATATTCTATAAAGCCAAAGCAATGTTACTGTTGCCTAAAAATATACTACTTTGATACCTCAAATTTTATTAAATTACAACTTAGTTACTATAATGTACATTTTACATTTTGATACCCCAAATTTAATTTTAGTGTAAAATTATTGAACAAACATGTTTTGGTATCTAAATTTTATTAGATTTTCGTACCTACAATTTTTAAATTTACATATTGGTACAATGTTTAGATTTCACTTGAATCCATGAATCCGGATCCACCAATCCTTTTGAACCAATTCATGAATCCAATCCACCATAACATAAAAGTATAAATTTAGTTTGTATCATACAAGATGTTTTATCATTCAACTATCGGAGATTTCTCATTACGTGAAATATTAAATAAATGATAAAAGAGAGATAGTTCTAAAATATAGCAAGAGCGAATTTATAAACTCAATTAGTTATTTACGGGGTACTAAACAAACTTCAACTAACTACATGTAACAAAATATGTGGCATCTACATAAGCAAGTGTCAATAAATTATTACGGTGAAAAGAGTTGACTGTTGTATTGAAGGCCAACTAAAATAGTTGGTCAAAACCTTTCCATCATCTACTTCCTCTTCGTTTCATTTTTCACTCGCCTTCCGTAACCGTAATTAGTATACAATTTTTATGTATTCTGATCACAAGCATGAACAAGTCCATACACGACTCACCAACAGTTTAGATAATTAATAATTGAACCATGAACCACTAACTTTTTCAGCGCATTGTACTGTCGAGTCCAATTAAGAATAATTATATATGGTTATTACTTATTAGAAAGTCGTCATTTTCCACTATGAGATTCGTAGGCGTGAAATTTTAAGCGAGTTCCAGTTTGTATTCCTTTTGCTTCTCTCTAGAGTTTTTCTTTGACTAAAATTTTCAACTATTATACATGGAATGTTTAGCTAGGTATCTACACATATAAAATAAATAGTTTCTTGTTTTCTATAAAAAAGTAAATAATTATCATCTTAAATATATCGTCATAAAAGGAATTAAGCCTCAACTATGCAAATCACAGTTCGGTAACTAAACTTGATAGATCTTTAGATTTACAACCTAAATTTATTATTTTGGCATATAAGTCCTCAAAATATTGATGGAACATTACATTTTAGTAACTATAATTTTTGGGCATTACATTTTGGTATCTAAACTTTGGAAGTTCTACAAATAGGTCTAATTTTTGTGTGTAATTAAAATGCACTCGAATAAATGAGTATCCATACCCAACCCATACACATTTAGATTATGAAAGTAAATATCCATACCCTACCCAAACCCATCAACAAACGTCCAAACTCATATATACGTCACCCATACGTACCCTACCCATAATCAATTAGTCTACTTGGGTTTAGGTAAATATCATTTATTAGTCAAAATTTTTTAATTTTTTTTAAATCAGATATTTACCGTTAAATATCTCTTCTCACTCAATATCATATTGTCAAGTCAATATTACTAACAAAACTGTTAACAAAAAATTAATTTTTTTCTAATAATACTAACAAAACACCATAACGGGCTACATAATACATGCTTAATTTTACCGTTATATATCTCCGCCCGAAAAAGACGCGGCATCAACACCTAATTACTTTTTATTTCCCAAATATGTTTCTCTCTCCCTTCCTTTTTCAGTAATCATTACCCATCTCTTCCTCTCTTATTCACGACCAAAACGTAGCATAAACCTTAACGTTGCCTCATCAGCGTGAGCATCTCTGTTGTCACTGCTCACTGCTAAAACTTCTCAGTCGTCACTGCATGTCTCTCTCACCTACCAGAAATAGACGGAGCCATTGAAATGGCAGCCCATTTACAGCAAAGGAGAGAGATAGTAAAAAATAGGCAGAGCAATTGAAATGGCGCGCGGTGGAGTAGTAGGGGCAATAGTTAAAAGAAGAGTAAGGGAATATGATACAATCTAGTGTGCTTTTCTTATCAAAAGTACTTCTTTTTTATTCAAAGTTTTCTACTTATAATAATAAAAATTAATGATGAAATATTGTCTTCAAAGGATCATTTGGTGTTAGAAAACGAATGTTATAGAATTTCTTAGAACACGCAAAGTATGTGTATAATTTAATTAAGTGTGGATTTAGAAACGACAACGGGCAAGTCGGACGGGTATTTTGATACTCAATCAATTTTGTGACAGGTCGGGTTTAGATTATATATATTGTCCGTGGCCGAATCAGGTCGAAACATATGAATATGTAATATATAAAAAACACTTACCACAATTGATTTTTTTCATAAATAAGTCAGGAACTTCAGACAATTGATTTTTTTTTTCATTAATAAGTCAGGAAACAAACTATGACATGATACATTCTATGAAATTACTCAAAAGTTGAGTTTTGTACAACTTTATAAAATATGATGTAATAAAAGTATCCTAAATATTTTTATAAAATTATTAAAAATTTAGACAAATCAGGTCGATGAAAGAATCCATACGATCATATCGGCCTGCCCACCTAGAAGACAAATATTACCCGCTCAAAAACATGTCAAACAAATCAAATTAAAATGGTTATATTAAATTTTTTTATCTCGAGATGCATTTACAACTACCATGATTTGGCCATATAGTATAAAAGTTTAACATACTGTTTGGTACCAAATGAATCGAGAATTCATTTCATTGTAAAATGAATTACCGTGTAGAATTCATTGTGAAATGAAATCCTATGTTTGGTACGTTATATTCAAATCTTTAGAAATAAAATGATGTGTCGTGTTGAATTCATTGTCAAATTTCTGTGTTTGGTATGTCATATGTATAAGTAATTTAATTAATAAAAGAGGATAATCATGTCATTCTATTATAATTAGTAAATACTAGTGGAATTCATTTGCAAATTCCATCTCAATTCCTCGGAATTTCTATAACTAGTTCCAATTCCGTAGAATTCAAAATTTAGAATTGAAAATGAATTCTTTTTAATACCAAACACAAAAATATTTCATTTCAAAATGAATTTCTCAACACTTATGAAATTCATTTATACCAAATAGTATGTAAACTATGATAATAATATTAGGTTGACTTGATATATTATGTTTAATGAAAATTGAACAATCATTATGAGAATCAATATTAAGATAAATTTAAATTGACCTAAACATTCGGTAAATCAAAAACTCAAACACCACAAAATCAAAATATGACCTAAATGAAAAAACAAAAACAAGATCACCTGTCCTTTGGGCAAGGGTTTAAGCTAGTATCATTAAAATATATTTGTTTCTCTCAACCGTTCTTTATCTCTCCTCTTTTTTTAAAGCTTTATGTAACATCTCGAACTTTTTCCAACAAAAATATTGTCCGTTTTGGGTCTCGACTCTCACGGTTTTCGATTTGGGGTACAATTCAAGGTGACTTCTCATAAGGTCACACATCCGTGTTGTACTCCACACTAAGCACATTTAACTTTGGAGTTCTCACAAGAACTACTCCATTACACACCAAAACGCGTCTTGTTAGTTAAGGTCGGTTTCTTACTTATGAACCATGGATCTCTCACGTGCTTTGTCGATGTGGATTTGCCTAAGGTGTTACATACACCCCTTCCCCTTTTGGGACTCAACTTTCTCGTTGATCGTTAGCCCCTCCATCGTTCAAGAGGGGCGCGGAGAGGCTCTGATACCACTTGTAACATCCTGAACCTTTTCCCGACGAAGATATTGTCCGCTTTGGGCCTCGACCCTCACGGTTTTAAACTTGGGGTGCAATTCAAGGTGACTTCCCATAAGGTCACCCATCGTTTTGTACTCCACACTGAGCACGTTTAACTTCTGATTTCTCACAAGAACTCCTCCATTACACCCCAAAATGTGTCTTGTCAGTTAAGGTCGGTTTCTTACTTATGAACCATGGATGTCTCCCGTGATTTGTCGATGTAGGATTTGCCTAAGGTGTTACACTTTATCTCTTCTCAAGCAAAAAAACACAACTCGCAGCAGATGCATTTATCTTATATTCCTCAACAACAAACCCTGACAGAGGGGTGGTGCTATTACAACGAGGATGAGCAAAAAATCTTATAAAACATATTAGAAATCTAAGAAAGTAGACTACAAATATGAAATATCATAAAACATATCGCAAATCTCTTGAATCATATCACAAATTTCATAAAGTACACTAGAAATACAAGAAAACAAAACAAAAAAAAAATCACAAAATAGACATCAAATCACACCAAAAGTGTGGGACAACACACCGCGAATATCATAAAAGCATGCTAGAAACATGAGAAAATGACAAAAGCAAAACAAAAATGGCATAAAGCATATTACAAGGAGGAGGAACAAAAAATCTTATAAAACATATTAGAAATCTAAGAAAGTAGACTACAAATATGAAATATCATAAAACATATCGCAAATCTCTTGAATCATATCACAAATTTCATAAAGTACACTAGAAATACAAGAAAACAAAACAAAAAAAAATCACAAAATAGACATCAAATCACACCAAAAGTGCGGGACAACACACCGCGGATATCATAAAAGCATGCTAGAAACAAGAGAAAATGACAAAAGCAAAACAAAAATGACATAAAGCATACTACAAATTAAATTCAGAAGCATACCGCAAATCTCTTAAAGAAAACAAAAAATCTACTAAAGCATACCACAAATATCATAAAGCAGGCGACAAATCTCACACAAAGCACACCAAAAACATGATAAAACACACTAAAAATCGTGAACGGCTATTTGCCGCCAATTCAATGAGTATTTACCGCCAACTATTTTTTTTATTTTTCAAATTTCAAAATCCATTTTTGTAAAACCATACATTCATAACATCACTTTACACTCGGGACAGGTTACGGTGATTACTACAAAGTAGTAATCACCGTGGTTACTAAGGGTAAATTGGGTATGGAAAAATAAATTATATTAATTAATTTTTTAATAAATTACATTTAAGGTAGTTACAAAAATCTATTAATTAAAATTCTCTCTTTCTCTCACTTCCGTAATCTCCAGCCAGATTTCCTTTCTATATTTTTCTCAATCTTTCTGAAAAAAAAAAAAAAAAAACGAAATCAGTATCAATCCATTAGACAAACACTACCACTTTGAAAAATATCAATACCATTGCAGAAATAAATCTATACCATTACACGAAAACTACCATTGCAGAAATAAATTTATACCATTACACGAAAACTACCATTCAAGAAATAAAAACACTACCATTTCACAAAACATCAATACCATTCAAGAAATAAAAACACTACCATTTCACAAAACATCAATACCATTGCAGATTTAATCACTACCAATGCGACAAAATCAATACCAATGTAACAAAATCAATACCAATGCGACAAAATCAATACCAATGCGACAAAAACTATACCAATACGACAATAACACTACCACTACGAAAAAAATGACTACCATTTAAAAAAAATCACTACTGAAAAAAATGACTACCATTAAAAAAAACATACCATTCCAATGGAATTCCTCCTTCCAATTGCAGAGATGATGGTGAGCGCAGCTGGAGAAGCGGCAATAGCTGAATGTCGGCGGGGAAGGGGTGGGTCGGCGGGGGGAGGGGGGTGGGGTGGGATGGGGTCGGCGGGGGAGGGGTGGGTCGGCGGGGGGAGGGGGGTGATGGGCAGGGGAGGAAGGAGGGAGTGGTGGAGGAGGAAGAGAGGGACGTGGGTCGGCGGGGGGAGGGGGTGGGGTGGGATGGGGTCGGCGGGGGAGGGGTGGGTCGGCGGGGGGAGGGGGTTGATGGGCAGGGGAGGAAGGAGGGAGGGGTGGAGGCTGCCGCCTGCCGGCGCGTAGGTTTGGTTGGAAGGAGCAGGGTAGAATTAGGGGTTGTGTATATATAGAATAATCCAGTATGGTTTATTTTTTGTTTCCAAAATTATCCTTGAGCAATCATAATCGTGAGATTAAAAAAATAGGAAAAAGATAAAAATGAATTGTGGATATTGATGTAGCCAAGGTGGCTACTAGAAATTTAGTAACCAAGCTAACTCATCCCCTTTACACTCCCAACAAACTGGAAAAAACCAACGTCGGAAGTTTAGAAGCTCTCATCTTCCGGAAGCCATTTTTTGTAATTGGGAAAAAGAGGCTCGAGAAGCTACATGACAATTACGGAAACACCCGTCACTAAACTTTCGTCGCAAAATACCTAAAAAAGTCTGTCTCATATTAAGCTGACGAGATTTAGTGAGTCATTACCAAAAGTTCTGTCGCAAAAGATGCTGGGCCGAAAGAAAATGGGGGCTTGACCACGTCCCGGGCATGAAAATCCTACGGCTCGACCAGGTTACGACCTCCAAATTATTCGGTCCGACCACGTGTTGGCCAGATGGAAAACAAATTTCGGCCCGACTACATCTCGGCCGCCCGGTTAGCCGACAGGTTATTATCGACCATATTTAGCGACAATTGCCAATCTGTGGCCAAAAACCGTCACGAAATCATTTATTTGTGATTTTTAGGTCTATTTACGTTTTATTGTAATTAATTGTATAATTCGTAATTAAATTATATTTGGGTCTAAAATTTTAAATTAATTATATTTACTTATTATAATTAGTTTATTTTACATATTAATGATATAATTAAGAAATAATGAACAGGAGTTTGGTTTAATGGTAACACCACTAACCTTAAATCTGGAAATCTCAGGTTCAAATCTCTTTAGTAGTACCTAAACAACAAAAAGTAAACCTATATCACTCTTAAAAAATAATATAATCAAGAAAAAAATTATATATAATATTAAATTATTCAATAAATTATATTTATTATTTAAATTTAAAAATAAATTATATTAATAATTAAATTATAATAAATTATGTATAATTATGATTATTAGTTTATTTTGGTTTTAGATTATATAATTTAGAAATAAATTACGTTTGAAAAAAATTATGTTTAATTACCGTAATTAGTTTGCTTATTAATTGTAAAATGATATTTTCGTGATATCTTGAGTTATGAACCTGTTCTTATTAATTTTTTAATTTATAAATACTTTTTAATTTATTTTTGTTTAAATACGATAATTAATGCGATTATTGATTATAAAAATGTCCTCTCGCGTTATCTTGAGCTAACAACATAGGAAATGGACAAAATCTTCAATGAACCTTTGATATGTGGTCTTAAATCCGTTGAAATTAACCGGATCTCGATTTGAAGTCCTAGGTGAAGAAACCATGAATAGTGCCAAGCTTTGATCAATGTTTTGGGAGGCTCCAAAATTCGAAATAGGGAATTTGTCGGGACTAGCTTATACAGACGATTGCTGTTAGTGGAAGTTTGAACGATTTAGCCTCTAAGATGATATCGTAAGAGGATTGGATTAATCAGGGTAGAAGGTTGGTGGTTTGAGGAAAAGAAGGGTTTAGGGTTTGGGAGGGGAATAAATGCTTGTTCATCTTCTTGTTGTTGTAGTTGTTAATATCGGTCAAGTTGGTTATTCTTCATGTTGAACTTTCCTGTTGCGCTTCGTCAATTACACAAAATTTATTTCTAAATTTAAACACTACACATAATTTATGTCTAATTTTAAATGGTAAACCTTATCTATTTCTAAATTAAAAAAAGTTAATAAGCAAAACGAAACAATCACAGTTATCAAGGATAATTTATTTCTAAATTTAAACACCATACTAAATTCATGTTCAAATTTAAACACCAAACATAATTCATTTATAATTTTAGAAACTAAAAAAAACGCTCTTTTAGTTTGGATACTAAATAAAATTTATTTATAAAGTTAGACACTAAACATAATTTATTGTGAGGCTGAATTTTAAATAAAAATACAATTTTAAAAGTTTGCAGCAAATAGTGAAAAATTTGGCGGCAGATAACATGTGTCTAAAAATCTCATTAAACAAACTAGAAACATAAGTAAGCAAACCAAACATCTCTAAACCTAACCGAGTCAGCACGCCATGTCATGAATTTAATTAAAAAGTTAATTTTTTATTTGTTTTATAAATTTAATAGTTAAAAGTTGATGGTATTGGATTGTAAGAAAATTATTCACAAATTAATATATATAAATCTAAATCACTTTTACTGTTCACTAAGGAGGGTGCTAATGTTAAATCAATTGGGCCGGTTAATTGGGCTCATGATTTTGTTTGTTAGGCTTCTCATGTGAAGTTTACTTTGGGTCTAATTGGCCTAATTTATTGGGCTCCTAATTTCTATTTGTTGAGCATTTGATGTCATTAGCTCAGTTCTGAATTTAAGAATCACTCCTAAATCCTAATGGATCAATGGTGATCATGCTAATCCATCATTCTTTTTTTCTCCCATAATACGATCAAATCAAAAGGAACGACAATGGCAGGTCGAACCGGTATCTTGATATTTATATCCGTTTTGTGGCAAGTCAGATCCATGTTGGATAATTTATTATGAAGAGCGGGTCGGGGCAGGTCAACCCATACATGTATATAGTTTAAAAGGAAACATCAGAAATATTCATTTTCATTAAAAAATAATAATTAATATATATAAATATAAATCACTTTTACTGTTCACTAAGGAGGGTGCTAATGTTATCAATTGGCCGGTTAATTGGACTCATGATTTTGTTTGTTAGGTTTCTCATGTGAAGTTCACTTTGGGTCTAATTGGCCTATTTTATTGGCTCCTAGTTTCTATTTGTTGAGCATTTGATGTAATTAGACCAGTTCTGAATTTAAGAATCACTCCTAATGGATCAATGGTGATCATGCTAATCCATCATTCTTTTTCTCTCCCATAATACGACCAAATCAAAAGGAACGACAATGGGCAGGTCGGACCGGTATCTTGATATCTATATCCGTTTTGTGGCAAGTTAGATCCATATTGGATAATTTATTATGAAGAGCGGGTCATGACAGGTCGATCCATACATATATATAGTTTAAAGGGAAACATCAGAAATATTCATTTTCATTAAAAAAATCAATAAACTATAACATAATAAATGTTGTTAAATTGTTCAAAAAAATTTGATGTTCTCGTCTATTTAAAGCTTTATTATAGCTAAATAAAACTAAATCTGAAGTAATTTGAGTAAAATTACATGTAATTTAGGAAAAAACCGGTCAAGAATGAAGTGGGTCAGAGCAGCGGCGGATTCAGGGGGTGGCCACCCCGGGCCCCGGCCCAGCCCTCCCCTGGATCCATAGTTAATATAGGCCTTATGAATTTTTTGATTTTAGATATTCGGGTCGTTGTTATTTTAAAATAAGATTGGGTATAATTAGAAAAATAATTCAGATAAACATATGCAAAATCACTACTCTAAATTTAGCTTATAAATTCTAACCCCAAAGGTTATTCGTCTAAAAAAACAATGAAACCTAAAAATTCAAAAAGTTTAAAACGTAAAAGACTAAAACATATATGAGGTTTGTTACCTTGAAAAATTTACTAGAGCAACTGGTGGATATAGGGATGGAAACACAATGCAAATTGATTAGTAGATTGATTTGTCTAGTGTTGATGCTGCTCGTTTCAACAGCTAATACGAATAGAACCTTTTCAACAACGAAACATGTGAAAATTGATTTGCGCAACAAAATGAGTGATGGATTTCTAGTCGATTGCTCAAGTATTTTATTTGAAACAGTGTATACTATTGGTATGGATGTGGACTCCATTATTGATCCATTCGCTAAATTAAAATACCGTCGTGTACAATTTACATTGTAAAAAAATTATAATTATATTTTTTTACTATTCTAATTTTCTAATAAAATGCGGCACAGTGCACTTCTGTGTTCTGGATCCGCCGCTGGGTCAGAGTAGGCCAAGTTGAGGATAGTACCCATGTCCGTCACATCCCGACTACGAGGCAGATTTTACCTGCCCAAAATAAGTTAAACAAATTGGATAAAAACATGTTAGGTCAAATTGCCATCCTACAAACCATAATCAGTAATCAGAATACAAAATTCCCATTAAGAAAGACTAATTTAGATGACCCTACAAAATTCTCATTAAGGATAAATTTAGACGAGCAGGATCAACATGCAAGGTTCCCCTATCCACTTTTTTCGATTGTCTTCTTCCAAATTTTCCTATTACCCACCAATTGTACCGAAGCAGAATCGTAAATGCGGCCGATGATCTCTTATCTGCTTATTCAATTAATTATTAATTATATATATATTTGCATTCAAGGGAGGCAAGGCCGCACAGACAAGGGAGGTTACAGAGAAGAGGAGGGTTGCGTCGCAACACCACGCTCAAAAGAAATGCTCATACAATCATCAATAAGAATGGGGCTAACGCCGGCGGTGGATCAACAAGTTCATGCATACTCAGGGGATACTGTGCTTCGAGAGCCAGTCTGCGACTCTATTCCCCTCCCGATAGCACTGTAGCACTAATTCAATACAAAGTTACTTACTGTGGCGGATCCAGGAATTCTACGTAAGGGTGTCCTCTATAAAAAAATAAATTAAATTAAATATTTAGAATTAAATTAAATAATTATTAAATTTGAAAATATCTAACTAATAAAAGTTTCATTAAAAGTTCAGACGTGTTTCGTCAAATGATAAAATGCATTCGGTGTTTATATTGCTCAACAAATATCTCTTGACATATCCTACTAGACAAGGATATCCCATAATTGAGTTTAATCGGTAGGTTTTGAAAATAACTTGAGATAAGAATAACATTTTACTATTATATTTGGATCTAAAACACACTAACAAATGAGTTGTAGTGTAATTGAAAATATATTAACTAATAGTGGCAGTGTCCCAAATTTAAATCACATAAACTACTGCTTAAATATTATTTGTACCAAGACGCAAACTACTACGGGAGATTGGATAATCATTTTTCCAAATTTTAAAGGTGTCTCACTACCACTTAAACATTTTTTTCTCATACGCAAACTACTATCGTAGGTTGAATAATCGCGTTTCCAAATTTTAGAGGTGTCCCGGGACACCCCTAACTATGCATGTATCCGCCACTGGTTACTTAGACCAACTTCCATAGTGTTTCAAAATTCCAAAAAATTGGAACTAACCATAGAGATCCAGACAATCCAAAGTTCCAATAGATCCATTTTTGCGGTCCAAATTTGAACTATAAAGAAACAAGAAGATCCAAAATTTAGGGATCACCAGGGAAGGAAATGTGCTATTGGGTCTGAACCTCCTGATTTGGGTTGAGTAAATTAAGGAGATCAATACTATTATGGTATTAGCAGTGGCATTGCTACCTTTTCTTTTCAAAACTGCTACCATCTCACGATATAATATAATTATTATTTGAGTAAATATAATTTATTAGTTAAATCTTTCAAAATTTTCAAACTATTAGTCCAACCATTTAAAATACAAAATTAGCCAAACATTTATTAATGTTACAAAGGTTTAGATATATTGACTAATAAATTATATTAACTTCAATGTTTTTTCTTAACCAAATACTAAAAGTTTGGAATGTTCATCATGAGCTGTCTCTTTCAACTCAATATTATGTTCTCAAGTCATCATTACTAACAAAATTGATTTTTTTTGTTTGGTAAAAACTAACAGAATTGCTAACGGCAGCTAACGAATGACTAATACTTTGTATTTCAAAGATTTGGATAATAAAATAATAATTTTAACTAATAAATTATATTACTCTTATTATTTTAACGTTTTTGCTCTAACTATAAATGATGATTTTTTTACACTATAACTATAAATATTGATTGACGTCACCCAATAGTACATTATCAAAGAGAAAATTTAATTTAGATAATGTAAATATAAAATTGAACGATTGATGCAAATGTCATGAGGGTCTAAGCGATGGATGCCGCACGTCCCTCACGACCCTCAGACCTATCCTCAGAATGTTCGCCGGCCCGAGCCACAGCGCTTCGCGCCTCGGGGGGCCGCGAACTTCAGCGAGCTCAATGACTCCCTGAAGAATGTTTTGCAGTATGCAAGGGACAAGAGATACCACCTCCGCTGGCCGGGCCCTATGCGAGGGCGTCCGAACAAACGGAAATTGGATAGGTACTGTGAATTCCATCATGAAAGGAGGCATCACACGGGCGACTGCTACCAGGTCAAATCAGAAATCCAGGGGCTTGTGGATAGGGGAATGCTGAGCGAGTTCGTGAGAAAAGGAGAGGATAAGGCGCAACGAACTTTCATGGCACAGGAAGAAGAGGTGGTGGCGCCTCGAGAGAGCGCACCCGGAGAATGGAGTTGCCTAGAGAAGGCGAAGTGTTACCCCCACCTACCTTTGATAACGAGCGCCCCGAGCGGTGCGTTCGCATCTCAGCCCATACAAGCATTGAAGCGATCGAGTCATTAGTCGAGTTGTCGAAGGAATTCGCATATCTCTTTGCTTGGAGCGCTCGGGAGATGTCGTGGGTGAAGCCGGAAGTTGCGATGCGTTGCTTATCGGTAGGGAAGGGTGTGTGCCCAGTGCAACAGAAAAGGAGGCCCTTGTCGGAGGAGAAAGAAGAGGCGTTGCGCAAGGAGGTAGGCAAGTTACTCGATGTCGGATTTGTGGAGGAGGCGCGGTATACGACATGGTTATCCAATGCGGTGCTAGTGCCCAAGGAGTCGGGCCACTGGAGGATGTGCATTGATAAGCTGGTGGATGCAACCGCCAACCACGAGGCGTTGATTTTTTTGGACATGTTTTCCGGGTATCATCAAATTCTTATGTGCGAGGAAGACCGGGAGAAAACCATGTTCATGACTCCCTTCGGCAACTTCCATTACAAGGTTATGTCGTTCGGGTTAAAGAATGCGGGGGCAACCTACCAGCATATGGTAAACACCGTGTTCCAAAGGCAGACCGGGAGGAACATGGAGGCGTATGTGGATGATCTAGTGGTCAAGAGAAAGAGAAGAGATGACCACTTGAATGATTTGCGCGAAACTTTCGAGACCATGCGTGCCCATTCTCTCCGTCTCAACCCACTGAAATGCGTTTTCGGAGTTGATACCGGCAAGTTCTTGGGTTTTATGATAACAAAGAGGGGGATTGAGTCCAACCCAAAGCAAGTGGAGGCAATCGGGCTCCTCGAGCCCCCAAGAGCACCAAAGGAAGTGCAAAGTTTGAACGGGCTCCTAGCGGCGTTGGGGAGATTCATCCCACGATCAGCCGACAGAGGTGCTCCCTTCTTCCGGGTTCTGAAGAGGGTTGCGCGCTTCAAGTGGACGGAGGAGTGCGACGAGGCATTCGAGCAATTGAAGAACATGTTGGTGGCGCCCACTGTTATGACGGCGCCATGGGCGGGCGAGGTGCTATACCTCTACATTGTAGTCTCGCGTACGGCTGTTAGTGCGGTGCTCGTTTCGAGGGTGACAACAGATGGGGAAGAGCGCCACGTGTACTACGTAAACAAAGTAATGACAGGTCCTGAGACGCGTTATGCGCCCATTGAAAAGGCAGCCTTGGCTGTTGTCGCCGCGGAAGAAAAGTTGCGCCCATACTTTCAGGCGCACGCTGGGGTGGTGCTCACGAACCTGCCATTAAAGAGCACGCTGGGGTCCATGGATGTGGCGGGGCGCATGGTGAAGTAGGCGGTTGGCACGCTACGACACAACACCTAATAATGGCCAAGTGTAACCAATGAAAGGGACTACAGTATAGTGGCACAAGTAATAAATATCGAATCCACGGGTCTCTAGAGTTACTATTACTCAGCTTCAGTTCATTATCTAGCAAACTAGATTAAGGATTTATTTGTAAACTACTCTACTGACTACTCTACTAATTACAAGTTGGGAACTCACTTAGGTATGATTCCCCCTAGCTCCTCAATTAGGTCCAAGTTGCAATTACTTTTGGTTGATCTACTGTTGATTAAACTGCGGAAGATCCTAAATTAGCTTGGAATCTCTTAAGCTGACCAAGCCCTCTTAGACAGAATACCCGGCAGGCGACTAGCCTTCACTGGGATAGACTGATAAGGCGATTCACACTGATCTCCACTACTGGAATGAATTCGCGTACAAAGCAGTGAATTGATTGACTCTCGCACAACCAATTCACCACTATCAATCAAGGAAGCTCTTTTAATCTAATCAGATTCTATCTATCATAGGTTAAAGCAGAAATCAAGAGAAGATGATCAGGCTTCAATTGACTCTATAAATCATGCCTCAATCGATTATAATCAAACAATATAGCATCCAAAACTTCATACAAGAAAGATCCTAACACATGGAACTAGGGTTCCTCAAAACCTAAGTGAAGGGAAGTTACTCCATAGAGAAGAGAGAGACTGCAGAAATCTGATCTAGGGTTCGTCCCTTGGGTGTTTGGGAACCAAAAACCAGCTCTCCCTCCTTTGGCTCGAAATTGGCTTAAAACCAGAAATTCCTGACTCACACGGCCAGGCCACACGGCCGTGTGACTCTCCCAGGATGCCTGTGTGAGTTTGCAAAACACAGCGTTTCGTTAAGTGACTTAAGGCTTCCTACACGGCCACGACCCACACGGCCGTGTGGACTTCCAGGGTGCCCGTGTGAGTCCCTGGAATATCCACACGGCCACAAGGGGTCCCTACACGGCCGTGTGGCTTTTAGGCATGCCCGTGTGGCTTCTCAGCTTCTCGCCAAACGTCCAAACTTCGTCCAATCGACCTCGAACTCGTTCCCAAACCTTCATTCACGTACTAGGACCTGAAATATCACAAACAAGCACAACCTAACGCGAAATCAGCCTAAAACACGAGAATCAACATCTCAAACGACTTAAGAATAGGGGTAAAAACATGTGTAATTATTGTTCTATCAGCGGTGCAACTGAGTGAATACGACATCAAGTATGTGCCTCGCCCGGCGATCAAGGCACAAGTGTTGGCCGATTTCTCAGCGGAAGGAGTAGTAAGTGGGGGAGAAGGAACGAACGAAAGCTGGCAGGTCTACGTCGATGGTGCGGCCAGCCGAGTCGGAGCAGGAATAGTGGTCATCACTCGCATGGGCGCTATACACGAGCTGGCGCTCCGGTTCTCGTCATTAAAAACGAACAACGCGGACGCACTATCCAAGCTGGCCACTGCTATCGACTTCGAAAGTGAAAGGCACGTGATCGTCTCGTAGGAGCACTCCTCGGAAGAGTTAATGGTGGGGACGATCGAGGAACAGGGTGCCGAGGAAGGAGGCTGGATGACCCTGATTAAAGCATATCTACTCCATGGAACAGTCCCTGAAGACGCAAGGCAAGCATGGCAAGTGAGGCCCAAGGCTACCCGTTGCACGATCCTAGATGGACAGATGTACAAGAGGTCGCATTCAGAGGCCTACTTGAGATGCCTCTCGGAAGTAGAGGGGGAAAGGGCGATAGCGGAGGTGCACCAAGGCTCCTGTTGCATGCACTCAGAGGCGAGGAGTCTCGAGAAGGTGTTGTTGTGTCAAGGTTACTAGTGGCCTTCCCTCAGAAAGGATGCTAAAAAGCATGTGGATAGCTGCCACCAGTGCCAGATTTATGCTCACGATGTGCATGTCCCCCAAGCGCCTATGCAGGGCAACATGGGCACATAGCCATTCTCGCAGTGGAGGATGGATTTGCTAGGGCCCTTCCCCAAGGCGCCCGGGCAGATGAAGTATCTAATTGTGGCGGTAGACTACTTCTCCAAGTGGGTGGAGGCGGAGCCCCTAGCAGCCATCACCCAAGCTCAGGTCAGGAAGTTTACGAACAAGAACATCTTCACTCGGTTCGGGCTGCCTGAATCTATTGTGGCTACCCATGGTAAGCAGTTTGAATGCCTGCAATTCATCGAGTTCTGCGACGAAAGTGGCGTTGTCCTGCGCTTCTCGTCTGTGGCTTACCCCCAAGCCAATGGGCAGGCGGAGGCGTCTAACAAGAGCATCCTGCATGCACTCCATACGAGGTTACTAGATGCCAAGGGGAGATGGGTCGAAGAACTCCCAGGTGTACTATGGGTGCATAGAACGACGCACAAGGTGGCAACGGGGGAAACACCGTTTGCACTGACCTATGGTAGTGAGGTAGTCATCCCGGTGGAAGTGCGCTTTCCCACGTACTGGGTGGCAGGGTATGAGAAGCCGACAAATGGAGAAGAGCGCGTACATGACCTCGACATGCTGGAGGAGCGCAGAGACATTGCCTCTGTGCGCCTTAAGGCCATGAAACGGCAGCTGGTCAAGTACTACAATCGTAAGATGCATCCTCATCAGATACGCCTGGGAAGCCTGGTGTTACGACGCGACTTCCGACCAAAGACATGTGAAGGAAAGCTCGCGCCAAAGTGGAAGGGACCATATCATGTCCGGGAGATGATAGGTCCGACCACGTTCAAACTGGAGCGCATGGGGGTGAAGGCCGTCAAACGACCGTGGAACGCCCAAAACCTCAAGCTGTACCACGGGAGGAAGTAGGGGAAGTTTCAGAGTGACACGTCAGTAGCACAAGGATGACACCCTCATTTTGGCAAGCGCGCCACCCCACGCGTCGTAAAATTATGAATGTAAAGCACCCTACCTTTTGCGCCTTAAGATCGTGTCAACATTTATTGTAAAGCGACCTACCATTTGTGCCTTAAGATTGTGTCAACAGTTATGGTAAAGCGCCCTACCCTATGCGCCCTTATGGGCGGTTTTAGGAATGTTCAATTTTCATCTAAGTAATTGAACTTAAAGCGCCCTTCGCGGCAAGGCGCCCTGATGATTGGCTTCGTAAAGCGCCTTAAGAATTTGCGCCCATAACAAAAGAGGTCGTTACCCACATAAAGCATGTGAACGTAATGCGCCTCTGGATGCTATGTGCCCGGGTGGTTGACGAGTTAAAGCGCCTTAAACATTTGCGCCCACAACAAGTATGATACGTGCCATCACTCCTTTGCGCCTTAAATATTAGCAAATCATCACTTCACGAGAATACTAGGATTGAAGTTCATAAAAAAAACTTGTAGATAGGGGGGCCAAGCGGACGCCCCATCACTCCTCCTCTCTCTGAACAGCGCCTTCGGGCATCCCTTGCGGCTCGTCAAGGCGCCTTTCCTCACCCTGCTGGTCCTCTTCATCCCTTTCGGTGTCTTGATGGCCTTCTTCCTCATCATTCGTGCCTTCATCACCTTCCACGCCTTCAACCTCCTCATCATCCGCCCCATCCTCATCAATCTCCTCGTCAAGCGCCTCATCTTCGGCTGGGGGTGGAACATCCAAGCCCATGATAGGCTCCAAGTCACCGGTTTTGCGGCCACTGTCCATGAATTTGAGAATATGCATAATCAAACCCATGGAGTCCCACTCCACCTCGGGCTGGTCCTCGCTGAACTTTTGCTGCAAGATCTTCACCATGTCGATCACGGTGTCAGCCTGGAGATTCTTTCCCACCTCAAATTTGTGGAACTCAGCAAGATCTCGGTTGAGGCGCTTCTCCTCGACGCACGACGCCTTCAGGTCCTTCTTGTACTGATCATTGGACTTTTTCAACCTCTTGTTTTCTTCCGACATCCTCCGCGCCTTGGATCAGAGGTTGTCTGCCTCTTCCTGGAGCCTATCACGCTCCACCGCCAGCTCCGCCTGCTTCTCGCGTAACCACCGCTCGACCTACGCTGTCTCCGCATGGGTAGCAGCTCGTAGCGCTCTCGGCACGTCTTCTCCACGGCCTCCTTTATCTTCTCCTGCTTTGCCTCCAGGCCAGTAGATTGCTTCGCAGCCAAGGCCTCGGCCTCTTTCTGTGCTTCATCACGGGCGCTGGAAAGAGACTCATGCGCCTCCCGGGCTGTCGCCAAGTCATCACGCAGGCGCTCAGCAGTGGAGGCAGAGGTGGCGCTTTCTTTGGCCATCTGGTCGAATTCATGAGAAGTGGACTCGATTAACATTATCATCTGTCAAATGCACTACACAATAAGGGGTAAGTTAAGACTCAGAAAATCGAGGAAACAATCACTAAGGTGTGAAGGGACGCCTTACCTGCACCGTGAGGTTGGCCATATTACGAAGCGGCCGGTTGGAGTTGAGGTGGTCAGGAAACTCTATAACGGCGGCATGGGATAGCACCACTTGGATCGAGGCACCCATATCTTTAGCCGCCGTAATGGCAACGCCAACAGAGACCTTTTCCAGTGGCCGAGCAGGAGGTTGGAAGTAGGGGGCAGCGTCTTCCCAGTATGCTCCCCAATGGTTGGCATGAGGAGACTGGCCGACATGCCTGAGGCAACAAAATTGTCTAACTTGGCGTTCTTTGCCGCGGAGTGAACCGGCTCCGCAAGCCTCTTCCCGGGTGCCTTGTCTTGCGAAGGCTACGAGGGCGTCTTGGACGTGGCGCCCTAGCTGCGGGAAGAATGGGAGGCACCCGAGTAAGCATCAGGGCGTATGGGCAAATTGTAAGAGGGCTGAGGGCGCTCGGATGCAGCAGTCGAGGGCGTCTTGCAGGGAGGTTGGGACTTGGTTTTGTTGGCCTTGGTTGCCTTGGCGCGGACGCGAGGCGCAGGGGGAAAATATGAAGCTTTGACCTAATGAGGTCAGAGACGGAAGTAAACTCGGTTCCTGCAAGCAAACCAACAAAGTTAGCAACAAATAGCTCAAGGCGCACAAACGAATGTAAAGTGTACAACAAGTCAAGCGCATGCAACTACCATCATTGTAAAATTCCGCCAAGTGACGGGCATATTCTTCGCTTATTGCGAGGTTAATCGGCTGCGAAGCAAGGCGCCACGCCATGTCTTCTTCGGCCTTATTGAGGACGGGGTGTTTATTAGACTCCGTTTCGTCACCAAAGGCCCACTGGGTTATAGGCGCCGTGCCGCTTTCAAAGAAGGGCGTGTCACGCGGGCGGACAAAGAAGAAAGACTCAAACCATGAGAGCCCCATTTTCTTGAAATGGCTGATGAAGTTGTATCCCAACTTAGGGCGCCTTTGAAGACTTAAGCAATTTGGGCTTCGGATCATGACGAAAAAGTGTCTGAAAAGTTTGAAAGAGCGAAGAATGTTGTGTTGACAACACTTGAGGCGGAAAAGGACGGTATAAAGAATGATGACATGAGAAGGCACCCAAGGGAACATTGGCACAGATGGAGCACGCCTTTGAGAATGGGATCGATAGGGAAGCGAAGCCCGAAGCAGGCGTACTCTTGATAGACGCCAACTCACCCCTCCCCGCAAACACCAACGCGCGCTATGGGTGATGGATGCGCATAACGCCAATCAGCGGGCAAGCAGAAGGAAGAGAGATGGTGGTTGTGAAGGAAATAGGGAGGAGGAGCAGCGGAGGCAATATATAGGGGCAAGCAGAAGGGAGAGAGAAAGAGTGGGGAGGTGAAACTTCGCCTAGTTTGAAGGGAATTCCAATTTTGAAATTTGAATTCCCCTTCACACTAGGGGGGGGGGGAGACAGACCCGTCGATCAAGGCGGAATCCCAACGGCCTGCTGGCAATAAAGAAAAAAGGAAAAGAAAAAAAAAGGAGAGGCAAAAAGTGTTAAGTAGAAGGATGCTAGCTGGGAGGTGTGCGCCCGACATGAGAGAGGCGCCTAAACCTAAACATAGATTTCCAAAAGTTGGCAGGCTCGCGCCTCATAAGGAGAGAGTCGGGAGGGATCATGCATGGTGAAAGGCGGAGGCGCTTGCGGGCACACGTGGGTAAGTTAGGCACCTACAAGATGGTAGGTGCCTAACTGTGGGCCAATTGTTGGGGGGCCTGAAGAGGCCCAAAGGGCCGGACTGAGGCCTAGAAGGACGAATTGGGCCTGGAGTGTAGGCCCAGTTAAGGGAAAGACTAGCCCAAGGAAGGTCTTAGGGTTTACCCCGTGAGGTGGGGCCGGGCTGACGTGGGGCGCATGGCGACAAAAGGGAGGTAATGGTCAGAAGTGTACGGAAGGAGCAGAGTGTGGGGTCAGGCGCCTCAGGGCCCTGACAGGGTGTCAGAGTGTCGAGGAGCCTGACAGGGGTGAGGTACAGTGCATTTAATGAGGTGATGATGTGGGGCAGATTTGGTGGGCATTGGTCGGCCCGGCCTCGAGTATAAATAGTGAAGTTGGTGAAACTCATTTACTCAGGTTAGAACTTCTCTCTAGAAACTACACCTTATTTCTCTCTCTAAAGCCATCGTCCTAACTTGGGCGCCATCGTATGCAGGGGCAAGGCGCACAACCGGAGCTGGGGAGGAGAAGAGGAGGCACATCGTCCAACTAAGGCGCGGGATTACTTGGCACAAACAGTTATCAATATTCATCATGGTTTGTCAGGTTTATTCACTTCTCAAATATTGTACAGCAGTTGCAATCATTATTTGCGAAGTCCAGGTGTAGGTACTATTACTACTATGTAAACATTTATCATACAATAATCAGTTCTAACATTTTCTATATTTTTTTTCCAAGGCAAGCCCAAAGGGCATGGGACAAAGACTCGACACTATTACAAGATCGACATAAACGGTACGCGTCAGTCCGTATGCAACCAGACTACTGATGAAAGAGCCTGTTAAGCCACTACTTGGACAGCTCTAAAGAAGTTCTGAGGAGCAAAGACATGACACAGACGGGTGGGGGGGGGGGGGATAAAACAAAAACCCAACATCTCCAAGAAGATAGTCCCGCCAACGAGTGTAATTTCTTTTGACGGAGTATGCCGGGTGTTCAGTATCAAGTTGTCACAAAAAAGCCACAACAAAGAAAAGGAAAAGGCATTAGCAATCTTTGACAAAGCATGCTCAATTACTCACATTAATTTGTATAAGCGAATTAAATGGAACATCACCTTATAGATCGATGAGACTTATTTCACTTCTTTCAATTCTTTCATACGATATGATCACCTAAAAAATGCACAATAAAAAATGCACGACTATGGTGCTAGAAATCTCTATCACAAGAGATTAAATCTTGCTCCTGAGGCAAAGTCGATCTTGTCGAAAATACACTACCAACGGTATTATTCAACTCTTGCAAGGAAGTACACTCACAATCAATAACGATTGTCCAAAATTAGGAAAAATAAAGCCTACTTTAACTAACAAAACTAAATAAATTAGTGATATTAATGGCTACTCCAAACCATAAATTAGTATTGAAAAACTAGGAAAGTATTACTCACAGCTCACCGTATTAAGTGAATGGACAAAGATATATCAAAATAGAAAATTTGTATAACAACAAATAAGGGGGAAATAAAATGAACTCACTTAATATAGAAACGTTGATTGCTGAACAATAATGATAAAGCAAATAAAAGGGATAGTAACTAGCAAAGTCAACAAAAAATTCGAATTAGCAATAATTGAAAGAGTAAATAAATTAGGAAAAACGATTCCATATCTTACCTCAACGTAAACAAATAAATGAGAAATCATAGGAGGAGTGGAATTAAATTAAAATGTAAATTTTCATATATGACGCCTTACGTCTCAGAGCTAATTCCGGAAACAAGGCGAACAACCATCCAGCAAACTTGGAAGGCGGCGGCTGGAGGAGAGCCCGGGATCTCCGTAACAGGGTTCTGATCATGGTTGTCACGCTGGCCGACGTGCCACCGGTTGTACCTGGTTCAACCGATACCGGTCATAAAATCAGCGTAACACCACCGGTATGACTGGCATGATCGATATACGAATCTCTAAGTAAAATGACCTTATTTTAGTGAATTTAATTGATAAAAATTATTATATTATTTATTTTATGAGTATAAAAGTTAAATATTGATGTTATTTGTTGGATTCAAGTATAAATTTTTAGGTATTGACGATAAATGTCATGTTTAAATATGAGTATTTATAATTTTATTTGTAATATTGACCGGCATGAAGCGGCACAAACCGGTATGTGCCACCGGTCGAACCATTCCACTTGCTAAACCGGCACACTGGCATAAACCGGTTTGACAACCTTGATTCTGATAGACACCACAACTGAATTTTGGTTTCGCCGATAAAACAAAAGTGTAACAGGGATTACGAACAAGCATGGTCCATGAAACCGTACCGGGTATCGTACCGGAAAAGTCAACGGTATGATATTTTATGATAAAACCGTGGTTTTACCGTAGTTGAACCGTTAGACCGTTAAATAGCGTCTACCGATTTAGCCTCCAATACTGGTATTTCGTGGTTGAACCGTCGGTACGGTACGGTTTCATGGACTATGCGAACAAGATGATATCCAAATCTCTTACCTTGACCCATATCCCATCGGAGACAGGAACTCGCAATGAAGCTTAATCCTCAATCTCACAACAAAAACTACCAAAACGACCATCAAAATGACAAAGAGATTATAGAATTATGATAATGTTGTTATGGTCCCATTTGATTACTAATTAAAACCAATGATATAAGGTTATGCGAGCTATGACGGAGAAAGACAGGAAGAGGAGAGGTGATGTGTACCGGATATGACGCCGGTGAAGTAGACGAGAATAGAGGTCTTGCCCCCGAGAGCCCAGTCGATGCCGAGGACGTCGATCGTGAGGGTCGCCCTTGTTGTAGAGAAGGTCGGACTGGGTCGCCATCTTGCGAAGATCGATGCCAGCCTTCTTAGCTAAGGCGTCGATCCCATCTCTTCCTCTTAGCCAACTTGTAAAACAAACACAGAAACCTTACGACTTTACAGGCCTGGAAAAGAAGCATCATCAATTCGCAGAGCTCTTACTGCCAAACAATGTTACGGTGGGCTGGGTCCAAAATCCTCTTCAAGTCCCAAACCGAAAAATATGGTTTCTAATGAAATTGAGGTGCTCTTTGATGCAAACATTTTCTATATTTGGATTAACATCAATTAACGAATACTCGTTTTTTATTCATCTGGGATCTGTTATATTTTCGTACAAAGGAAGCTAGGGCTGTCAATTTGGTTTGGTTTGGTCATCAATTAACGAATACTCACTTTTTATTCATCTGGGATCTGTTATATTTTTGCGTACAAAGGAGGCTAGGGCTGTCAATTTGGTTTGGTTTGGTTAACCAAACCATTAAGTATGCAAAATCAAAAACCAAATCCCAAAATCCAAAACCAAAACCATTAAGGCCCTTATTGGTTTTCGGTTGCCAAAAACCAATAAGCGGTTTAATGGTTTTGGTTTTGGTTTGAATAACCAAAAAACCAACAGGTACTCATACACTCATATTTATTTTCATTTCCCTCCTTTTTATTGAATTAACGTCATAATAATTGGTAAATGGCCATTACAAATTATTGGTTGGCATGCATGTCAAAAGAAACAAAAAAAAATTATTGATAAATAATTTTATTCTTATTGGTTTCTATTGGTTTTTCGGTTTTAACCAAACCAAAACCATTAAGTTTGCTTATTGGTTTAAAACCAAAAAAACTGAAACCATTAGCTTCCCAATTGGTTTGGTTTCGGTTAAAACCAAAAAACCAAAACCAAATGGACAGCCCTAAAGGAGGCGTGAGGCCAAAGAAGAAGAAAAACAATCAGGCAGAGGGGGAGGAATTAAGAGAATGGGCAATAGGGATGTTGAGCCTAGGGAACGAAGTCCCTCTTTCGTCATTCCTTAAGAACCGGGATGGCTCTTTGGGGAGGTGTCGATAGTTCATATATTTCGTAGAGATAGATAAGATTGTGATTCGAGAGTCAGTCCGCGACTCTATTCCCTTCGCGATATATATGCGCTATCTTCACCACTCAATCATGAGCAAAAAATCTCCTAATAGCTGCCAAGAGGGTCGAGTAGGGGTGCAAAGAGTCTGTTCTGTTGTTCACTAGATCAATAGCCAGACGAGAGTCTGATTCAACCAAAAGAGTTCGACAGCCGTGAGTCCAAGCAAGTTGAAGTCCATGGTATAGTCCCCATAATTCAGTTGGTGCCGCAGAGCAAGCGCCCAGGCTAGAGCAGAACCCAAGGATCCAACGCCCTTCACTGTCTCTCAGATAACCTCCGGCGCCAGCCTTCCCGGGGTTACCTGATGCAACTCCATATACATTAAGCTTAAACCATCCACAAGGCTGGGGAACCCAACTAATCTCGGAGGGAACACGCTGCGAAGCGGCGTTGCTCGGGCCAATCACTGGTTGGGGCGAGATCCAAGCTTCAAACTAGAGCTTCGCCTGGGTAAGGGAGGGAGGGGAGAGGGTCTTGGCTACCCCATTGAAGCATCCCTCATTTCGTTTTTTTCCATATCAGCCACAGAGCAATTGCAAAAAAAGAATTCCACGAAAACCCCTCAGTCGAGGTGTCATCGTTGGCGATGTTGTGACGCAACGAGAAGCTGAAGAAGGTATGGAGTTCTTCAGGTTTCATAGTTCTTGTCCAGAAGATGTCGTCGAACATTCTCTAAAAATGTGGGAAATTGTCTCCCTCTGATTCGGCATCTGTAGCAGACTGCCGTGTCGGTGAGGTGTCGATGATGTCGGAGAGCATTAGACCTGATTTTCCCCAACATAACCAACCACATGAAGCATTAGATGGGCTCAGAGACGGGTAGATTCCAAATCTTTTTCCACTTCATTTATCTAGGAGCCATGGCTGTGTGCTTGATCATATGATAGGCGCTCTTGACTGAGAAGCGTTCGTTGGATGTGGAGTTCCAGAATAAGGTGTCGTCCTCTGTAGTTAGGGGATCTACCACCATAGCAGTGATCTGCAGCTGCACTTTGGGAGGGAGAAGGGAGCAGAACTTGCTAGCTATCCATCATCCTTCCTCGTCCACGTAAACAACTACTTTAGCCGTGATATCCTGTTCGGGGATGTTTGTAACCACCAATTCTTGAAGGGGTTCCTGCGAAACCCATTTGTCCAACCAAAAATAAGTTTTGTTCCTATTATGGATGTTCTAGGCACAACCCTGTTTGTAACACCCTAACCTGGGTGGGTACTACTTTTACCAAAATACCCTTTACAAACCATGAAATCATTAATAACTGAAAATAGTTGGGAAAATAGCAGAAACTTTTCATAAATAACTTTAACAAATACTGAGGATTAATTGTAATTTCTTAAAACAAAGCCCTAACACTTGGGCGAATCTAAATCTTAAAATCTTAATCTAAATCTTCAGTCTACACTCATAATCATAAAATGACATAACTAAAAAGTATTTGATGTTGTCACTTATTGAAAGCCTTGACTAGGCATCTTCCGTGATGTTTGAACCGTCCTCCCCTAGCTGGCTTGCCTCGAATTTTTCTCTCGATGCCGATGCTCTCTAACTAGCTGTTATCGAGCTAGTTCTCGCTCACTCCTTTACTAAGGCCTGGTGAGTGAGATGGGGCCAGTCTATGCCCTTACGTTTTAAACTTACTAATAATTTTGAACTTTTCTTAAACGCTTACTTAAACTGGTGGAAGTTGTTTGTACTTAAGCTCTTAAAGATCGTAACTCTTAAAGTTGTATGGAGTTACTGTTACTCTCCATTCTTAAAGCTCAAATCTCAACTTAAATATTTGATAGACTCAGGGATCCCTCACTAGCTATTCCGGTTTTCCAACTCATACGTATGAGAGCCCATCCAGGCTTTCCTTAAACTCAAGCTTAGTTAAGGGAGTCGTAACGATTCATCCCCCTAACATCTTAAACTTATCGTAGTGGCTCCTCACCACGATTCTCAAGAGCATAACTGTTGTTCATCTTAAAAGTCTCAAGAGCATAACTACCACTCTATCTGAAAATCTCAAACAGGCAACGAACTGACGCTGGTGACTAAAAACTCTTAAAGCTATTTCACCCAGGGTACCGTAGAACTTGCCCCATATATATATATATGCTAAATAAGAGCAAAGTGCCATAGATTCAATTAAAATCGATCCTCCCTAGATAATCAGCAATGGACTGAGACCAAATTCCAATGCCTTCATACCTCTATAATTGTTAACCAACCACCCATTTGGTCAATCATTGGTTGAGGTCTCTGATTGAAGAGAAGCAAGGCGTAGCATCGAGGATTTCACACTCGCGGTGTGGTCGCCGTAGTCCACCATCTAGTTCATCACCGTAATCATCAATTTTCTAGTTGCCTATTGTCGCTCCTTCGTATTCATGTCTGCAACACATGATCTCTCACTCAAGATACTGTGCATAATCATTGGTTATGCACTTATGAGTAACTAAATATGAACTCTTTATTCAGAAAATTCAAATTTAAGGATGGAGAATTAAATGCAGTTTTATTTTCCTTTGTTTTCTTAATCGACTCATATCTTTTTTCATTTTAACTCGGATTTCAATTTTAATTTTTTTCACAGATGAAACGAGTTCTTTGTGCTCTACAAAATGAGATATATTTTCAATATTTTTTGACAAAAAAATATATTGCCTCTCGTTACCAACTGCATAGATATCTTCTTCGTTTTGGAGTCGTTTTTTTATAATTTTTGGACAGAAGGAACGAGTTCATCATGATCTATTGGATCTTCAAATATCTGGATGAACAAAATTCAGGACCAAAAAATACCACACAATACCATACAATACCACCCTGGTATGGGGTGGTATCTTGTGGGACACAATGTTGACAGTAGTAAGTGACAGTTAATATACTTCTATTATCATGTATTCAACCATCCTACAGTCTTGGTATGTTCATACCACCATAGTACGCTTTTCATATCATATGATATGCTCTGATTTAAATACCAGTCAATACCATGTGGTAAAGACTAGTAAAAAATGGCTCAATTTTTTTGTTCCAAAATATATCAAAGTGGATATCATTTTTGAAGAGCACAATTAATATGATCTAACTGTGCAAAAAAATCAAATTTCGACTTAAAATGAGTGAGAAATCATCCGTTAAAGATTAGGGGGGGGGGGGATTAAAAGCTTTTTAGGAGAGAGAAGGTGCGCTGATATGGCGGATTCTTTTTGAGTTATGCATAGTTATTGACCATAGGTTATTGACCGGATTCGCTCCCCCTATGTATTATGTGGCCCGTTATGGTGTTTTGTTAGTAGTTTTGTTAGTAATATTGACTTTACAATATGATATTGACTGAGAAGAGATATATGACGGTCAAACCCAAGTAGACCGGTTGATTATTGGTTAGGTATGGGTGACGTATTTATTGGTATAGAAGTTTGTAGATGGATTTGGGTAGGGTATGTATATTTACTTTCATAATCTAAATGTATATGAGTTGGGTATGGATACCCATATACTCAATGGTGTTTTAACACATACAAAAATTAGACCTATTCGTAGAACTTTAAAAGTTTAGGTACTAAAATGTAATTACAAAAAATTTGGGTACTAAAATATAATTTTCCATCAATATTTTGAAGACTTATATGCCAAAAAATAATGAAAGTTATAAATCTAATGATCTATTAAGTTTAGGTACATAACTGTAATTTACATAGCTGAGGCTTAATTCCTTTTGTGGTGATGTATTTAAGATGATAATTATTTACCTTTTATAGAAAAATGGAAACTATTTATTTGATATGTGTATATACTATCTAGTCAAACATTCCATGTATAATTGTTGAAAATTCTAGCCTGGGTGAAAAAGAAAAACTCTAGAAAGAAGCAAAAAGAATACAAACTAAAACTCACTTAAAATTTCAAGCCTTCAAATCCCATAGTAGAAAATGATGACTTTCTAATAAGTAATAACCATGTATATCTATTTTTGATTGGACTCGACATTGAGATGAAAAAGTTAGCGGTTCATGGTTCAATTAGAAATTCTCTAGACTGTTGGTGAGTCATGTATGGACCCATTCATACTTGTGATTAGAATACATAAAAATAATATACTAATTAGGGTTAGACGAAGAAGGCAAAGAAAGAAATAAAGAAAGGGTTATTGAAGGCGAGAGAAAAATGAAACGAAAAGGAAGTAGATGATAGAAAGGTTTTGACCAATTCTTTAGTTGGTCGTCAATACAACAATCAACCCTTTTCATCGTAGCAATTTTATTGACACTTGCTTATGTAGATATCGTATATTTTGTTACATGTAGTTAGTAGATGTTTGTTTCGTACCCCATAAATGTACTAAATGAGTTCATAAATTCACTCTTGCAATATTTTAGAGTTGTCTCTCTTTTATTATTTATTTAATATTTCACGTAATGAGCAAATATAAAATGGTCGAATCTTCTCATTCAATTGAGTGATACAACATCTTGTATTGTACAAACTAATTTATACTTTTATGGTATGATGGACTGGATTTTCTGCGGTCGACAGAAAGAAGAGACCCGACTGCTCTCACCAACGACTCATAAAAGAAGGTCACTTGTAGATGTACAACTAGTAAAGAAGTTAGGTTGAAGCTCAAAGTACCTCCCTCGAACACGACTCCATGCCAAATCTGACAATTTTCTCAGTGTTGAACTAGCTCTTTCTACACTTGCAGACAGTTGGAGCTGCAACATGCAAAAACGATTTGACCTAAGGAGAGTGACATCTATTGATTAGGTATTTCAATTGGGGATTTTGTTTATAGTATGATAAATTAATTTTGTCTTATAAATAAAAATGAATTGTAGTGTAATTGCAGAACATTCTTATATTACATGGAGGTCATGAGTTCGATACTTGATATGGACATGTGGGGTTGTCTTTTTGTACCCCAAAAATTACTCGTGTCCCTGACAATGCCCATACACCCTCCCTCGGCCTATGAAAGAGATGACTGATAGTGTCGTATTTGCACATGTTTGCACCCTTGTTTCTTAACTGTTTTAGCTTGAATTTGTGGTTCTTTGGCCTATTTTACGCTAGGTTGTGTTATTTTGTAATATTTCAGGTTCTAGCGAGTAAAGGGACGCATAGGCGCAAGTTTCTGGTCAATTGGAGGTCGTTTGGTCACTCAAAACCCTCTCAAAAGTGGAGCTGAGGAAGAAATACGGGCAGCCTTCCCTAAATTACGGTCGTAATTCATAAATTACTGTCGGTATTCCCCAAATTAAGGCCGTAATTCACAAATTACTGCCACTATTTTTTATGCTGAGCCTGGTGATGGCTTAGGTACAAAATACCGCAGTAATCCCAAAAATACGGTCGTATTCCTTTGTGTCTAGCCCATAATTGATTGAAGTGTGTTTATTGAGTCAATTGAATCCTGATCAAATTCTCTTGATTTCTGATGCAACCTGAGATAGATAGAATCTGATTAGGTTGTTAGAGCTTCTTCAATTGACAGGAGTGTATTGATTATACGAGAGTTAATCAATTCACTGCTTTGTAGTGGAATTCAATTACAGTAGTGGAATTCTGTGTTAATTGCCTTAGCTTTCTTTCCTGGTGAACACTAGTTGTTTGCCGGTTAGTCTGTCTAAGAGGGATTGGTCAGCATAAGAGATTCCAAGCTACCGTCGGATCTTCCGTAGTTTAATCAACAGTAAATCAACCAAAGGAAATTACAACTTGAAAATAACTAAGGAGCTAGGGGGATTCATTCCCGAGTGACACTTCTCTTGCTTCAAGAAACTGGACAATTTACTGCTTTCTTTCTGTTTAGTTTGAAATCACCTATACTCACTTAGTATAGCTAGATAATAGAAGTTCACGGAGTAGGTAGTACATCTAAACTCTGGGTTGATAAATTAAACTTATCACTATTCTGCATTTCCGGGCTGCGATTAGACTTGGTCGCAGTTTGGTGTTGTGTCATAGCGTGTCAAGTTTTTGGCGCCGTTGCCGGGGAATTCTAGGTTATTGGGAGAAACGTGAAAGTCTGTTACTTTAGCATTTTTCTTCTCTATCAACCACCATCCGGGTGGTATTACCCCGAGATTTCCTTGAGCAATCAAGGAGGAGAAGACTATGGATTCAGATTTCAATACCAACCCCCCTACTACGAAGAATAACCAAACCCTTGGGAACCTCCAGAACAATCTCCTTCTCAAGAAGAATTCCTCCCACAACCAGAGGGGCCATATGAGTTGGAGTTAGCCATGGTGGCCCTCACGGGCCATTCTGTAGAGCCGCGTTATGCTCCACGGCCAGAGCCGAAGAGTAAATTGGATCTTTTCATGGAGCAATGTGCTTGGGACACCGAAAGATCATGCTCCAAGCTGGATCCTCATACCCAGGATGGTGCCCAAACTAATTCCTACTTTCCCCGTGAAACAGAGGATACCCTTCGGAGCATAAAGAAGCACATAGAGGTCATTGAGAAAGTTTGTGCACAGTTTTTTTAAGACAACCTTTATGTTGCCATACAAGTAGAGGAGGAGGAAGAAGAAGGCAATCATGAGGATGTTGAGGAGCATACAGAAGTTGTCACGGAAAGCTCCCATGATAATCATGATAAGTGTATCTTTTAGTGGTAGATCACAACTGTCCCCATTTCAGCTCTAACATGTTGGGCCCGAGCGAGGAGATGCAAGATGATCTCATTGAAGAAATTACATGGCGACTTGCTCTCCAATCTGTGTCAGAAGAAGAAGAGCGAGAAAGGGTGAGGGAAGAAGTTGTGGAGGATGAGGAAGAAAGCAACGAAGAGGAAGTTCTTGATCTTTTTCAATGGGAGATACCAAATTTTGAAGAAGGAAGGGAAGTTGAAGAAGAAATTGGCGTCCAGGTTGAGGATGAAGTTGAGGTGGAAGAAGCTTGCACCGGCCATGAGTTATATGTGATATCTCCACCAAACTTCGAAGAGCTGCTTGAAAAAGACCCATTTGCAGTGTCTCTTTGCCAGACCAAGGCCACATCAACATCGGTCCCTCTTGGTGGATGCGATGGTGATTGATCGATGCTGTCCTATCTGATTTTGGGGCAATGAGACGAGAGACAAAGAGAATAAGAGGTCTCGAGAGCGGAGACTTCATCTAACTCAAGTACACGAGCCTACCCCACTTGATTCACCACATGTTCGTGACTTGAGACTCCACCTCATCGACGAGAACCTCAACTTCAAGGAGGTTCTGGGGTGGACCGAAACTTACAAGCCACCGTCCGGCTCAAGGCGGTACGTTTTCATTTCTATCCTTTGTGCTTTATCTATCACCCAATTTGTTTTGATGACTCCAGCTCTATGCCCTTTGGACTAGTCACTTCCAGTCCCTTGCTCTTGGCTGGTCTGCCTTCCAGTCACCGTTGCCGATCATCATTTCCTGGTAATATCGTTCCCCTTCCCTCTGCTCCCTTGAGGGCAATGTCGAACTTAAGTGGGGGGAGGTGCTTTGTATTTATTGGAACATATGTTTTTGTGCTTGGAGCCTAGTCCGCTGTCCAAATCTCGAGATTTGAGGGCTCCAAGTACTGAAGTCTACATGATCATATTGGCACTGTGGTTTATGTCGTGAATTGAATGGTTGTAAAGTTGATGCATGACAACTTGATTGTGACTAGGACAACCTATAATGATGACTGAGACGTGCGGTAGAGTTATGCAGGGGTTCAGTTTTTCAATTGTTTGCTTACCAACTGTGACTTGGATTGATCACTTATTTTCTACAGTCGTTTATGCATCTAGTTCAGCGAATCAGAATGAGAGATAGAGCATATAGGTAGCCATGTGAGATTTGAGCCTGCTCGTTTCTTTCTTGTGTGATAGATCCCTCTTCCATGATGTGTAGCATTCACGTTGTCACTAATTAGGATGATGGAGGCATAGGAATAGCCCACGGCCAAATTGACTGTCCTGGTGTGTCATACCCCCTAGTTAGCCCCTTTGAGTCGTGTAATTTCCTTTCTTTCGGTCTACAATGGAAAATCACCCTTTTGCATCTCGTAGAGGTTCCATAGAGTGGTTTTTGCATGTTCTCTATTGTTTCTGCTAGAAATAATGTGAGAGTTGGGCATGTGTTTGAAAAATGTGCAGAGGTGGTGGTTCTCTCAAGAAATGAAAAAAGAAAAAGAAAAGAAAATGAATGAAAGCAAAAGAGAACCACTACCAAAAATCTGAATCATGCTCATTAAGTAGTGTTTCTTAGCAGTCTGGCTTAGAAATACTAACATTATTGTGACCTCCTTCACTCTTGTTCTCTAAAGAACTTGGTCAATGCAGAATGGCAGAAAGAAAGTAAATGGTTCGAATAAAGGTAGTTGTGTTGGGTTTGGAACTGTGGAACCTTGTGCTATAAATTCTTCCACCATCTAAAAGGTCGTTCCCCATGTCCAAGACCCTGGCCAGTCATCTGAACCCGTGTCTAAGACCTCATAACTAGTTAGTTGTGACATATGATATGTGAACTCTAGCATTTAGAGTCCGCCATCATGGTGAAGAGACGTTAGGATTGAGAGAATAAGCATGCGCATTTTTCGCATCAAATTATCCTGACCCCACTGGTCGAGAGTGAGCGATTCATTTCCTTATATTCTTTACATTCTTTACCCCGGTGAGGACCTAGATTGCTCGGTCTTGATTCTGATGTCTTGAGTTTTATGCATGAGGTGATTGTCTTGAATAAGTGGTTAAGTCGAGTCTATGTTGGTTGGTGAACAGAAGGGAGACTCTTCAATTACTCGATTTTGCTGCACTAAAATGTCATCTATGGTGGTTGACTTGGTTTCCATTGAGGTTGTTCATGTGTTGATGTCTAAAAGCTATTTTACGCTATGTTGTGTTATTTTGTATTATTTCAAGTTCTAGCGAGTAAAGGGACGCATAGGCACAAGTTTCGGGTCAATCAGAGGTCGTTTGGTCACTCAAAAGCCTCTCAAAAGTGGAGCTAAGGAAGAAATACGGGCACCCTTCCCCAAATTACGACCGTAATTCATAAATGACTGTCGGTATTTCCCAAATTACGGCCATAATTCACAAATTACTGCCGGTATTTTTATGTCGAGCCTGGTGATGGCTTAGGTACAAAATATGGCCAGTATTCCCAAAAATACGGTCGTATTCCTTAGTGTCTAGCCCGTAATTTCACTGTCGAGAGGAGCCTTGGATGCGCTGAGACTTAACCAAAACGCGCGTTTTTTGGCAAAATACGGGCAGGGAAGAATTACGACCATATTTCTGCCCGTAATTTGCCCAGAATTGGGTTTAAAGAGGCAGACTCGAGCCAAAGTAAGGGGTTCAAATTTTTGGAGAAAAAACAGAGTTCTAGAGAGAGAAAGTGCGAAGAACAAACCCTAGGAGCTATTTTGGAGTAGATTTCTCACCATTGAAGCCCAGATTGCATCTTCAGGAGTGAAGATTGATATCCCAGAGCATATTATTTCCATCTTTATGAGTATGATTGCTTTGATTTCTGTTTTCATCTCTCTCTCTATGGAGTAGACCTTTCTCTCACATGGGTATGAAGAACCCTAGTTCCTTGTGTTAGGGATTTGAGTTGTAATGACTTTTGGATTGATATACTGTTTGATTATAATTGATTGAAGTGTGTTTATTGAGTCAATTGAATCCTGATTAAATTCTCTTGATATCTGCTGCATCCTGAGATAGATAGAATCTGATTAGATTGTTAGAGCTTCTTCAATTGATAGGAGTGGATTGCTTATACGAGAGTTAATCATTTCACTGCTTTGTACTGGAATTCTGTGTTAATTGTCTTAGCTTTCTTTCCCGGTGAAGACTAGTCGTCTGCCAGTTAGTCTGTTCAAGAGGGCTTGGTCAGTTTAAGAGATTCCAAGCTACTGTTGGATCTTCTGCAATTTAAACAATAGTAAATCAACTAAAAGAATTAGAACTTGTACCTAACTAAAGGAATTACAACTTGTACCTAACTAAGGAGCTAGGGGGACTCATTGCCGAGTGACTCTTCTCTTGCTTTAGGAAACCACACAATTTACTACTTTCTTTCTGTTTAGTTTGAATTCACCTATACTCACTTAGTAGAAGTTCACGGAGTAGGCAGTAGAGCTAGACCCCGGGTTGATAAATTAAACTAACCACTATTCTGCATTTCCGGGCTGCGATTATACTTGGTCGTAGTTTGGTGTTGTCTCGTAGTGTGTCAGTGACCAATGGATTAAATTGATGAATTGGATGGATTAAAAATTGAATAATTCATGTGTGTTTGTTATCGGAATTTATCTCCCAATATCATATTGTTAGTAAATAGCATATGATTCATTAAGAAACTTTTTTTTCTAACAACTCGAGTTATTGGGACCAACTGGTTCTTGACATGGTATTTGTTGACACCTTAAAATTATTTTGGGTTAATAAAGTGGCACATTAATTATTCTTGGCATTTAATTCAATGTCGCATGATATGAAACGGCATTGTTTAGTACCGAGTAATGTTGCGGAGAGTTTAATCGACACCGCGAAGAAGCTCGATGGTACCGCAATACTGGATACGATGTTGTTCGGTAAAAACAATGTCGCGAGCCTTGGATAAGAATCTATTCCGCTTCACAATGTGTAAGTAATGGGCCGCAAGACTTGTATTGTTGTTGGAGAAGGTGTTTTTTGTTTTAGTCCTCGCCGGAGGAGGAGAGAAACAACACTGTTTGGAGTTAAGCAATGTTGTTAAGAGATAAGACAGTGCCGCGAAGCTCAAAGGACAAAGACAACGTGATGCTGGGAAACAATGTTGTTTGGCTAAAAACGACATCGGCGAAATCCCAACAACACTACGATACTGGCAAACGAGGTGAGTCTTGGTTACGGAACCAAGAGTGACAGTGTTTAATTGAAAACAATGTCACGATGGCCAAGTTTTCAGAATGACTAGTATAATTAATTAATATTTTTAATGATTATTTACGACGCTGTCGTTTAGTTGAAAATGACATCGCGAGAGGTATCAACAACACCACGGATTAGAAAATGACAGTGTTTAATATAAAAGGATGTCGCGAAGGAAAAAGCAAACGGAGCTGTTTGGGGAAGAAAACGACACCGCGAGTAAGCCCAACAACTGCAGTACTTGAAACGACATTGTTTAGTAGAAAACAATGCCGTGAACCATGGGTCATGGATTCATTCAACCAAGTTCCGCATCACAACTGCGGTCTCGGCGACATCGCGGAGTTGAAAATGATATCGTGTGAGGTCCTAGCAATGTCGCGGTATTGGTGAGCGATATCGTTTGATTAAAAACAATATCGTAGTGGTAAGAGACGGCTTGCCAAGTCCAACGATGTTCTTTAGCACAAAAAAACATCGAGAGTTCAGAGTTGACCATTTTTATTCAATTAAAACAAGTCAAATTCAAACTACGTTGTTTTGTGAAGAAAACGACGCCGAATAGGCCCAACGACGTTGCAACATTAGAAACGACATTTTTTTGGAAGGGAGCAATGTCGTTGAGCAGGGGCCATCAATGTTGCGAAGTTGAGATGTGGTGCCGATGTTGCTTAACTAAAACAACATTGACCACTGTCAATCCTTGCCACCTTAGGAAATATGGCCGACGTTGGGCCATTAAACTTTGTTTGGTAGAGATCAATGTTGTAAATCAAAAGTGGCATTGATATTGTGAGTTCATCGATGTTGCAGGGTTAGGAGCTCAGCCCTGTGGTATTGTTTTGCTACGCCGTCATTTTATGAACAAGGGTGACTATTGTTTGGCTTGAGGAGAAGGAGTGGATTATCAACCCCGAGTGGATAACAATAATGTTGCCTCAACATTGTTTTGCTAAGTCTCTATAGAATGGTTTCGTGCGCGTGGGTGGCACGCAACGAAGTGGAAGTTACCAACATGGTTGAGAGGAATGGAAAACGTGGGGACAAAGACGCGAAGACAGTTACTGCGACTACGAAGAGAAGATTTGGGTATAAACATGACAAAGAGAGAGAAGCTCAAGACGGAAAAATGAAATCACAAACTGCACTGCCGCAGACTTACCTTTTTCTCTCTAGTTTCGTAGAATTGCTCTGTCAAAGATCTTCTTTACAGGGTCGTAGATCGTAGTTATAGTCGCGGAGCTCTCCAGAGGAACCTCCATAGGAGTAGAGGTAACGTAATTTAGAACTCCAGTTTGGTTCTTTGTTATTCGTCAAACACCCTCGTTCGAACGTAGTTTGGAGAGGTAGTGAACCGAGTAACATTCATATTTAGTTAGAAGTCAAACGTGCATCGATCAAATCAACATCGCCGACGCCCGGCGGTGGATATTTGACGATCGTTCTTTGATCTCGTGTTTTGTGTTTCCTTGATAACAGAGCGCATTAAACACACGAGTTTCACCATCAAAATAGTACTAGAGCTTTCTGTGACTGAAAGTTCTTCTTTTCGATTCCCGATGACCCCATATGTTCTGTTAAGCACATGTGTCTGGACTTGTGCAAACTTCAAACCCATATATTGTTGCTTTCGTTTGAAGGATGTATTAGTAAACAGTATATGATCCACCCGTTCTTGACACATCTCATGGTCTCTCAAGTTCATATCATATTTTTATGGACACCTTAGTTTGGGCCCATGGCCCGCGACAAGACGCGGAATCGGCAAGATGTTGTATCACTCAATTATAGGAGAAGATTCGGCCAAACTATTTACATTTTAATACTCCAAATTTAATTAAATCACAATTTAGTCACTACAATGTACATTTTACATTTAGATACCCCAAATTTACTTTTAATGTAAAATCATTTAACAATTATGTTTGGTATCTAAATTTTATGAGATTTTCGTACCTAATACCCCAAATTTAATTAAATCATAACTTAGTCACTATAATGTACATTTTACATTTTGATACCCCAAATTTAATTTTAATATTAAATCATTGAACAATTATGTTTTGGTATCTAAATTTTATGAGATTTTCGTACCTACAATTTTTAAATTTACATATTGATCCAATGTTTAGATTTCACTTGAATCCATGAATCCAATCCACCAATTCTTTTGAACCAATCCATGAATCCAATCCACCATAACATAAAAGTATAAATTTAGTCTATACAATACAAAATGTTGTATCACTCAACTGTAGGAGAAGATTCGGTCATTTTATATTTGCTCATAACGTGAAATATTAAATAAATGATAAAAGAGAGACGACTCTAAAATATTGCAAGAGCGAACTTATAAACTCATTTTGTACATTTACGAGATACTAAACAAACTTCTACTAGCTACATGTAACAAATTATGTGACATCTAAAAGGGTTGACTGTTATATTGACGGTCGACTAAAAGAATTGA